ATGCTTTTAATGCTTCCAGAGAGCCGGCCGCCGGCCCCCGTGGCGCCATGCCGTGTTGTATCCGGATTGCGTAATTCCCTCGTTACTATTCTTCCTGCGGGCCGTGGACCGTGGAGGCGCCCCCCCCCCTCCCTTCCCCCTCTTGTCGGTCCAGTCGCACGCGGCCCTACAGGCGCTAGGGCAATTGAAACCATTAAACAGTAGCAGCTGGCCCGCCTGTCTGCCCGTCTGTCCGCCAGCCTGCCTGCCTGTCTGCCCACTGCCCGCCCGCCTGTCTGTCTGCCTGTCTGCTTGCCGCTCTCTGCAGCTCAGCGACTTGCGAGTGTGCGGGATTATTCGAGCGATCGGGAATTGCGGACGCGATAAATTAATTAGCTGCTCTACTTGGGATTCAAAGTGCAGCTTCCTCCTCCCCCTCCCCCTCCCCCCACCACTCCGCCGACACAGAGTTGCCGCTCGGGGCTTTGCAGGTGTTAACGCGCTATTAATCTTCATGATGGAGGGACGGCCGCCTGTGTGGCTCCAGGGTGGCTCCAGGGTGGGGTGGCGTGGTGCAGTGGGGGAGGTGGGGAGGGTCTCGGAGGCGAAGCGAAGGGCGTTGTCGCGGCCCTGCCCTCCCTCCCCACTCCATGAGCGGTACGTCGAGTTGCCTACCTTCCTGGACCGACCAGCACTTTGGGCTGCCGTTTGGTGTTTTCCCCCCGACTTGCCGCGTCCCCGTCTGTTTCCAAGGGCCGAAGAACGCGAGGGGTGGTTGGGGGTGCGGTCTCGCCGAGAGTGAGAGTCAGCTCGCTGTGAGAAATGGACTCCGCCGAGCAAAACTCTCCATCACCAGATTGTCACTTGTCACTCCTAAGCATATACTTCCACTTCCTATGCTCGAGTAAACTCCGGAACTAAAAGGGACACAGCTCCGCTCTTTTTGCATCCACATTTTTTTCCCCCGGCGGCGTCATGCTTTCTTTCCTTTTCTCTTTTTGAGATGGAGGAGCCTCCCCGAATCTTGTTGATCTTGTGGAGCAAGCGTGATCATCATCCAGGCCAGCCAGGCCAGCCAGGCAGCCAGCAGTGCTGCCAGGCAGGGGTGGTTCGCCGAGCCGGGAGGGCCTGGCCCGGCCTGCGCCTCCCGCGCCGCCAAATTGACGCCTTTCCGGCGGGACGCACGGCGCACGCCAGCAGTCTGGTTCCGAGTGGGACGTCTCTCTCGCACCCACGGGGCGACCCTCATCGGCGCGAGAGAGACACGCCGGCCCGAGGGGTTCCCGCTCGGAATCAGCCCGCAGCGCCAAGCCAGGCCCAGCCAGGCCCAGCCCTGACAGAGACGTTGCGTGCGCGTGGCGCGGCGTGGCGCGGTGGGGGTTGAGACTTCCCTGTTCCGTGCATGCCTAGAAAATATGCGATGTGCGTCGTGCGCTGTACCGCTGTATCTCGGAACACCCTTGCAGCTTTCTCCCCCTCCCCACTCCGCCGGCCAATTTGCAAATCGCCACCTCCCCCCCCCCCTCCCACGCAAGCCGCGTACTACCAGCGCGGCGTTCCCGAACACACGTGCGTGCGCAGTGCGTGGTGGTGTGATCCATGGCGACGCCGGACGAGGACGTTGACGAACGCGCCGTGTTTTGTCCCCTTCACGACTTGGCTCTTTCGCCGGGCGACTCTCTCGGCTCTCCAGACTGCGCGCGCCGCACAGTGGGCCAGAAGAGCGGTGGTGGCGGCCAAAACTGTAGACGCGTTTTGAGCTCCAGAGTCGCTAAATGGGACTTGAACCGAACGTGTGACCTCACCAATGGATTGCTCTCCGAACGAGGAATCCATCGGTGGGGTCACACGCTCGATTTGAGAGCCCTTTAGCGACTCTGGAGCTCAAAACGCGTCTCGAGTTTTGGCCGCCTCCCTCCACCCGTCTTCTGGCCCACTGTGCGCCGCCGCACGGCCTCTGACCGCCATCCTCCGGGGGCCGTCCGTAAAGCCACGGCGCACGGCCTGGCACCGCGCACCACAGTGCGCCGACAGATTCGGCCCGCGAGCCCCGCCGCAGCGCGCCGCCTGCCACCAGGGAGCGACTGCCTGCCGCCAATTTCGAAGAAGCGCGTCTCCAGCTGGAACTGCCGCTGGAAAAACTCGTCACCGCACGCTGCAGAATATGTCCCGGGGAGGGTGCCGGAGCCCCCTGGGGACCTTTACCCTCCTTTGCCCCTCCTTGCGCGGCGCGGCGCGGTTGGCCTGGCTGCGCCTGTATTCGAGATTCGGGCGGCTGCTGTGGGCTCGTGCCTCGTGGCCGGTCGTGCCTTCGAGCTGGAGAGCCGCCCGCTGACCGCGGCATAGGCCTGCCGCGTCGCTGGGCGGTGCGCCGGGCTAGGCTACCGCGCAGGCGGCGGGAGCGTCAGGTGTCTCAACACAGGTGCACGCGGCACGCCGGCGTCGAGAGGGATTACGCGCACGCGACAGCGACGCCCCGCGCGTGCCTGGGCCGGCCTGGGCAGCGTGCGGCGGCGCGCGCCCCACCTGTCACGCGTGCTTTGCGCCCCTGCCTCTCGCCCTGTGATTCGACTCGAAATAAATACTCGACAGGAGAGCGCAGAGGGCCACTGTAGCCTTCCGGCGCCCTCTCGCAGCGCGCAGCTCGCATGCGCCCCGCCGAGCAATACTCTTAATGCGTGCTCGAGCTGTCTCCCTTCCGCCCGTGCCGCCCCTCTCGTCTCTCTCGCTCACTCCTGTCTTGTCCCCTCGCCTTGCCTCTCCCCTCCCCCTTGCCCTGTTTTCCACCCTTCCTCAGCCTCGCCAAGGAAAACACGAGGATCGCGGTGGGGGCTGCAGTTACTTTATTTTTTTTTGGCGGGGACAGGCCCCTGTCTGCTGCCCAGGGTTCCGCCCAGGTTTCTGCCCGGGGTTGTGCCAGTCCCCCAATCCTGGGCGGCCAGCAGACCGCGCGCCGGGTGGCAGCCTGCCGGGCACTGCCTGGGCCTCGGCTTGGACTTGGGGACGCTCAGGCTGGTGGGGCTGGTAATCCAATCAATGGCGATCGCCGCCCTTCGACGAAACCCTCACTGACAGTTAAAAGTGGCCTTGGGCTAGGGTGGTCCAAAAAAAAATGAAGTTGCTCGGATCGTCTAACGCCGCCCGGATTTGGATTCTACATAGAAAAAAATGAAAAATGTGTTTTTTCCTTTATCGAAAAAGTGATTTTTAGGACCTCCGCAAAGCCCTCAAAGTTTTTAACAGTGCTATTAATAGGAAAAAAATCGTAACTTGGTCATTTTTTGACCGATTTTCAAAAACGAAACGGGGATTTGTTCGTTTTTGAATGCTTATTACGAAAAAAAATACGCCTTACCCACTTTTTGCTTTGCCTAACTTTCAGGGGCAAAAAATGGCTAAATTTCGGCCCAAATTGGCAAGAGTTTCAGTTTGTAGGCCGCTACAGCCACTCCAAGTGCACCCTGTCAGCATGGCGGGGTGCCCCTAACACTAGGCAAGCCCCATGAACAGAATTAGGATGCTGAGTGCAATTTGCCTACCTCCCAGGGGCATCAAATTGTGGATTTTTTCGAAAAATCGAGCAAAAGTGATGTCTTTTGGGGCCTCTGGGCACTCAGATGGGCACCCTTTCACACGGTTCGGTACCCGAACTACGTGAGATGAACATACAATAGGAATGGGCGTTGCTGACGCAAGGGACCGCAACCACGCAAGGCCACAAAAAAAGACCATCAAAATGAAGGAATTTTCTAAATTTTTCACGTTTTTCTGGTCCTGAGAGGTAGGCATGAGGTGCTCAACAGTCCATCCCTATTGTTTGTTTTTAACACGTAGTGCGGGTACCGAACCGTGTGAAAGGGTGCCCATCTGAGTGCCCAGAGGCCCCAAAAGACATCACTTTTGCTCGATTTTTCAAAAAAATCCACAATTTGATGCCCCTGGGAGGTAGGCAAATTGCACTCAGCATCCTAATTCTGTTCATGGGGCTTGCCTAGTGTTAGGGGCACCCCGCCATGCTGACAGGGTGCACTTGGAGTGGCTGTAGCGGCCTACAAACTGAAACTCTTGCCAATTTGGGCCGAAATTTAGCCATTTTTTGCCCCTGAAAGTTAGGCAAAGCAAAAAGTGGGTAAGGCGTATTTTTTTTCGTAATAAGCATTCAAAAACGAACAAATCCCTGTTTCGTTTTTGAAAATCGGTCAAAAAATGACCAAGTTACGATTTTTTTCCTCTTAATAGCACTGTTAAAAACTTTGAGGGCTTTGCGGAGGTCCTAAAAATCATTTTTTCGAAAAAGGAAAAAACACGTATTTCATTTTTTTCGATGTAGAATCCAAATCCGGGCGGCGTTGGACGATCCGAGCAACTTCATTTTTTTTTGGACCACCCTACCTTGGGCTCGACCCGGCCCGGCCTAATCGCCGCCAAGACCGTGCCGTGGCGTGCCGCGCCGTGAGGACTTCCCCTCCAAATAATGCGACCCAAGTGGCGACCGTCGGCCGACCCTCCCCAAAGTGGGCTCCTACACTGTTGGGGTTTGGCCATTTTCACAAATCGGACAAGCGGACCAAAGCTGCGGGGGACACGTTGTCGCGAATGGAAGAGCCACATTTCGCTGGAAGGCAGTTATCTCAATTCCCCTCATCCCTCATTTTTGTAAGGTCAGGCTGTATGGTGCAGCTTTAAGGCAGCCGCTTCCTTTTTTGCACGTGTAGCTGCACTGGCATTTGGCACTTTGTCCCAACTCACGGAGCCTGCCACGTCCAGCCAGTGGGCCCTTCGAATGGAAACAAATGCCCAAAGAGAGAGCGAGGCGAAAGAAAGCCTTCAAAACTAACCATCGTCTTTGTGCTGTGAGTGTGACCCAACAGGCTCTGTGATCGTGTTTAGGTTCCTGCAGCAATGCAGAGGAAACATAACAAAAGCGATGACAACAACAACAACAGATTCAGCAGCAACATTATGGATGTAAAGAAAGCTGATGTGGTGGGTAGAAGAATGTTACATTTTAGGTTTGAAAATAATTGTAATAGAGATATAAAATTTATTTTTTAAAGATAATAGCAATCAAGATCAGTTGAGATCTGCATCCCATCCACCTTGATTAAGATCAACAAGATGATAGGCTTACATGCGGATTTGGAAACGCCCTGCCTTGGTTATATATTTGACACCCTTAAACGGCTTATATTTTTCTCCATACATGTCAAGCCGATTGACCCGTAAACCAGACACAGCCATCTGATTAATAGTGAAGTGAACCTGTTGTATAAAAAGAAAAGGGGTAATGAAGAAAATGGCATCAATAAAGATCAGATAAAACAACATGGTATATGTACTGACATTTATAGCTGGGTTAGATTCAACCGGAGGAGCACCAGACTGCAAGTTGATCTAGGGATGTCAATGGATTTAATTAATTAAGTTCCAATCGCAAAACCAAAAAATAAAATCAATGCATTTTTATTGACAACTAAGACTAATTTTTAAAATTAATTTACTCACTGTTCCACGAATATTTGGCAGTTTTGTGGTATCAATGCGACCGACATCCCACACAAGTGTCCTGCTGACTGGATCAAAGGAATACTTCCCCTGAGATGGCGTTAAACTACAATTCAAAACTGCTTTTGGCATAGGTATTTCCAAAACCACATTCTCCACCTGGAATGAAACAAGAGAATAAGCCACCTCATCTGATGAAACAACAGTAAAGGTAAAAGTGTCCAAGGGACTCACTGTGCGGCCAACAGTTTGCTTTGGACCAACAGTTATGTCAAGTCGTCCACCTCCAGCTTCTCTAAAGTTGATGCTATGGCGCACATAGACAGGAATGGCAACCACACTCTGAGATCCAATGTGATACGACATTAAACGGAAATTGCCATCAGGAGGAATAAAAGAGAGGAGACGCTCCGACTAAAAAGAGAAAAATGAAATAAAATTGTACCAATTAATAAGTGAACTCTGTAAAACCAGACATTTTGACATGGTGCAACTGTGTTTTACCTCCCATCTCTTGAATCTAACACATGGATGGAAGCTGACATCATCAAAGAGGCCGGAATTCATGAAAGAAAGAGTGAGATCAGGCATTCCACTGAGTTTGATACAACAATCAATCTGCAATCAAACAAAAAAGTTGGTTGGAGAAAAAAGTGTGGATGTTATTTTATCACATGAGTGAAGCAACTTACATATCCTTGAATTTCAGCAAATACTGTAGAACCAGATTTGTCAATAATTGCATCAACTTCTTCTACAATGTCAAAGTAAGCTTCATTGTTGGTGTATTTCACACCAGTTCTTCTCCAAGGTATGTTAGAGAGCTGCCCGCTTGGTAATGTGGAACTAACGCTGAAAACAAATCAAAATAATGAGTATTTCGCACAACACAGAGTCATAAAAACATCGGCTTGGTCCTAAAGACTTACTTGGACTTCCCTGTCACAGAATTTGCAAGAGTACGTAGAATATTAGGAGGCTTAATGAGCTCCTTCAATATATTTGACTCTGTTGCCAATGGGAAACCATTGTCAAGCATCTCATCCAGAAGCTGAAAAATATTATTATTAGTGCAATACATAAATAATGGAAGCGGACCGCAAACAGCAAAAAGACATGATAGGACTCCCTCACAGAAGGAACACTGACCTCATACACAACCACATAATTTTCTTTAATGAGACTTTCTGAGCACTCACTGAAGTAGTCTTCCAAGGTAGACACAACAGTATGAAGAAACTCAATCACAAACAATGGTGGAACTGGTCAAGAAGATAAAGAATAGGAGTGAATATGGGAGATTATAATGCAACAGGCAAATTAAGGGTGAATTCTGTACTAACCTTCAGTCATGCAAACAGCAACAAAGAACATTGAGCACCTATAAACGCTAATGAGATAATGATGTGGTGTAGCTATCACTGGGGGAACATCTTCTGGAGAGGAGACTTTACGCTGTTGGTCAAAGAAGTAGTCACATACTGATCGTGATATGACACTTTTCCAGTGCTTCTCCATAAAAACATCCCTGTATAAACAGCATCGAAATGTGAGTATGTAAAAACAGATTAAATAGTTACAGATTGAATAGTCTGTAAAATTTAGGTAGATTGATAAATATGTTAAACCAAGGTATTATACAACGGTATTGTTTACCTTTTTTAAGTTTTAGGTTATATTTTTAAGACGTGGTCAACTTACCCTGAAGAGTTTATGATAAAGAGACTGTGAATCATGTTGATGTCTGATAAAGCTGTGACTTTAAACAATTATTGCCGTGAGGCAACTTTAAAATGTTGATTCAGTTTAAAGAAAACATATTGACAAAGTTGAGCCAGAAACTTCAGCTTCAGCCGTCTGCCAGCAGAACTACAGCCATTTGAGAGGCTACGTCGGGTCGGCAGTATGAGACATTCACTGTGCGTGAATTGCAATGGGAATAGCAAGCGACATAAATGTAACTCCTACGTGAACAAAAACAACACAACCCTAAAGTTACGCTGTCAGCGGCTAAATTTCTAATGTTCTCTGTGAGGGTGCGTGGTTTTTATTTTGTAAGTATGCCCAGGATTATTGCTTTTCTCACTTTTCGTTATGGCTAAAATGAAAGTTGCGTCCTATTATGCAAGAGATCTTTGTCATGTTGATGTTGACAGAGGCTATGTTAATTCTTCATTCTCGCCCATTCATTTTCTTTGTAAAGATTTCACATGTCTTTCTATTTACTTTATTATTTATCTATTAATTTTCCCCCTTTTACTTTGTATTTCATGATAGGTTCTCAAGTTGTTTTAATGTGTTTACACTTACATTAGTCGAGAAGTTGGCCAGTTCTCATTGAACAATTCCCGTTTAATTTTGTTCTTTTAAATCTTTATTTTCACCTACAGGTTTTCAGGAGACAATGATCGATTCCAAGTTTCAAACATCTCCTCCAAGGAGCCCTACCTCATCAACCAGTAGTTTTAGAGCGGGTTCTCCTCTTCCCACACCTGCTGTGTACAGGTAAGACATTATTCTGTTTCTATCATACCTACCTTCTATTGGCTCAGATTTATTTGATTCAATTTTGTTTTGATTTTCAGGCAGGACTGTATGTCAGCAGCAGCAAAGCGGTACAAATATCTACGAAGGTTAATCAAATTTCAACAGATGGACTTTGAGTTTGCTTTTTGGCAAATGTGGTACCTTTTTATGGCACCCCAGAAAGTTTATCGAAATTTTCACTATAGAAAAGGTATAATGTGTTACATCTTGCCGAGTATCTGGAAATCAAGACTTGTCTCCTTACTGAATTTATTTTTCTCCCCTGTAGAAACTAAGTCTCAGTTTGCTCGAGATGATCCAGCATTTTTGGTTCTCTTAAGTGTGTGGCTGTGCGGTAAGTAAGAATTTATGTTCATCTCTGAGTTGGTTCTATCTCTCAGTCTTAATTTTTTAGTTATTTTGTGTTTCAAGGATTCCATTGTACTGATCTGTTTTTTGTTTTTCCGTTTTTGCTGTCAGTATCTTCCATTTGGTTTGCCTTTGTGTTAGATCTAAGTTTTGGGCATTTCATCAAATTTCTATTTTATGTGATATTTGTTGACTGCATTGGAGTGGGTCTTGTTATTGCCACATTTTTCTGGTAAGATGACAATTTTTTTTTTCTTTATCTGATCTTTTAATGCTTTTCCATGTTTTTAATAATTGTTTTTCCTGACAGGTTTGTCACCAACCGATATCTGCGAAGGGACTCTTGTCAAGACCAAGATGTTGAGTGGGGCTACGCATTTGATGTTCATCTCAATGCCTTCTTTCCACTTTTCGTTATATTGCATGGAGTCCAATTGTTAATTTGGAACAGTAAGCGTTATTCTTTTCATTTGTTGTTTTCATTTGATGTTAGGTAATTGATTTTAACTGTCACTGTATTTCTCACTATTACACATGTAATAGTTTTTCCAGCCCTCATCAGTCATCCCATGTTTATTTCAACATTTTTTAGCAATACCCTTTGGGCTGTAGCACTTTGGTATTATGTTTATATAACATTCCTTGGATACAGCTGTAAGTTATCAGTTTTTCTTCCACTTCAATTCTTATAATTTTTGTGATTTGACAACTTTCCTTTATCTTTCTGTATTGTTGTTATAGGTTTGCCCATTCTTCAAAACACACATGTTCTGTTATATCCCATGACAGCCATGTTTGTTGTGTATGTGGTTTCAATCACCATCGGATGGAATATGTGTATAAATATGATGGATTTCTACAGAAATAGGGTATGTTTCTCATATAGTTTGTTTTCTGTGTCTAAGATAAATTTTGAATGTTTTGTTCCTTACTTTTCTATTTTCTTTACAGCTTTAGTGTTAGTATGGAGAGGTCTTGGAAGAATTTCATCAGTAAAGGACAGAAATTGTCAGGTTTGAATTTCAACTTTCTGATGTTCTCCAATTTTTTGAGGAGAAAATATTACACAAATCTGTCACACTTACAAATCTTTAACTCTTAGAGGCTGAAAACAATATGTGTAGTTTGTACAAGTATCTCTACCTTTTTATTTGTCATTGTTGAATTGAATTCAACAATAACAATAAATTAAACTTATGCTGTGCTTTACTGGTCAGATAAAAACTGCCTCAGCCGTGCACCTTGCGGTACTCTTTTGTTTTCCATCTAAACATGAAATTTGTCTTAACTTATTGGTACATAGAATTATGTTGTGAGGTAATTAATTAAAACCTACTTAGTGTCCGCTCATTTGTGGCTTATGTATAATTTCCTAAAGAATAATCAACCATTATACCTAGTTGTCTGCCTCATGATCTCCCTTTTCCAAAATTAATGTATGGGTTGAACTAATTTTTGGCCAAAGGAAGGTCTTTTCGTATGGGCTGAGGCCATCTCTTGGCTGCACCATCCAGTAGGACATATGCTCGCGACCCTACTTTGGTCGGCTCGAAATGTGCCAATGAGAATGACAGAGACTTGGTCAGATTCGTCTAGGCTAGCGCTAGCCAGTCGTTGGTTGCTCCACACCGCTCCAAACCAAAAAACGCCCACCGTTTCCATACCGGACTGGTAGCTGGCCTATCTGTCAGGCGCTACTACAGGCACAGGCCACCAAAGGAGGTATAGCGTTTCAGAGACGTGACAGCCGGTAGTTTGCCAAGTAGGCAGGCTGAGGTAGGCAACCCACGACACACCGTGAACAACGTGGCTCATTGTCGCCTTCGTATTTTGCCTCACTGTAAAGCCTTGCAACTGCAGGCAGGGCAGGGCTTGACTTTACTGCTCTGCGGCGATGCCAGCGGTAGAGGTGCAAGAAGAGTGTCTGCAGTCTGCCCCGACACGGCGGTGCACCGCCATTCATGCGATTCGTCGTTTTTTGATCACGACGCGCTGGTCGAGAGGCGTGGCACAGGCCGACTCGTCAGTGCATTCGTCGCTCTGTCTCTCTGCGACTCATGGAGCGTCTCGTGGGTGTGGGAGAGAGACAGAGCGACGAAAGCCCTGCGTGGCACTGCGTGCTGGCGGTGACCTTGCAGTGCCCCGCCCCGCGCTCACAGAGTCCCAGGCCTTGCGGTGCACTTGGTCTGACTTGGTGTCGCGTCCGGCAGGCACGCACAGTAGGCCAGAAGACCGGTGGGGGCGGCCAAAACTCTAGACGCAATTTGAGCTCCAGCGTCGCTAAACAGGACTCGAACCGAACGTGTGACCCCACCAATGGATTCCTCGTTCGGAGAGCAATCCACTGGTGGGGTCACACGTTCGGTTCGAGGCCTGTTTAGCGACTCTGGAGCTCAAATTGCGTATAGAGTTTTGGCCGCCGCCACCGGTCTTCTGGCCCACTGTGGCACGCGGTTGGCCCGGCCGGGGCTGTGAGCCTCCAGGCCTCACAGGCAGCCTCACAGGCTCTTTCCAAAATAGAACGTATCCGCCCCAGATCCAGATGTGCCGCGGTGCCGCGGCCTTGGGTGGCAGTGGCAGCAGTGGCAACGCCGCCGCGTGGCCCTCGTACTACGCCCTGGTCTGGTAGGCCGCAAGCCGGCACGCCGCCAAGGCTCGCTGAAGGCCAGCTTGTAGCTCACGCGGCTCACGCAGCTCACGCAGTGGCGGCGGTTGGTTGCGCCAGCGATACCCTCATTGATTTCCCCATCAAATCGGTGACACTCGAAACTGAAACGACATGAACAACAGCACACGACCCGGCCCTGCAGAGGTTCGGCACCGTCAAGCAGGCCACGCGGGCGACACCGCCGTCGCCTGGAGGCGTCCTGGAGGCGTCCTGGAGGCGTCCTGGAGGCGTCTTGGAGACGTCCTGGGGGCGGCCTAGGGGCGTCCTGGGGGCGGCCTGGAGGCGTCTTGGAGACGTCCTGGGGGCGGCCTAGGGGCGTCCTGGGGGCGGCCTGGAGGCGTCTTGGAGACGTCCTGGGGGCGGCCTAGGGGCGTCCTGGAGGCGTCCTGGGGGCGGCCTGGGGGCGTCCTGGAGGCGTCTTGGAGACGTCCTGGGGGCGGCCTAGGGGCGTCCTGGGGGCGGCCTGGAGGCGTCTTGGAGACGTCCTGGGGGCGGCCTAGGGGCGTCCTGGGGGCGGCCTGGGGGCGGCCTGGGGCGTCCTGGAGGCGTCTTGGAGACGTCCTGGGGGCGGCCTAGGGGCGTCCTGGGGCGGCCTGGGGGCGGCCTGGGGGCGTCCTGGAGGCGTCCTGGAGACGTCCTGGGGGCGGCCTAGGGGCGTCCTGGGGGCGGCCTGGAGGCTGGCGAGGCCGGGACCGCGATAGTGGTATAGCCAAGGCGACGGAGAGGCACGGCGATGGCGAGGAAGTGGCGGCCAGATAACGTTCCGGATGCTGCGCCACGCGATTCGGACGCCTGGTGGCCACGCCGCGCAGGCGAGCGATTCTGAATGGTTTTTCCCTTTGTCTCTCTCGCACCCTTGTGGAGTGCTCCACATGTGTGACAGAGACAGACCGACGAAACGGCCCTTCTGAATCGCTCGGCTGCCGCCACCGTGCGTCGGGGTCAGTGGTAGCTGAAAAGGGAAGCAGGAAAACCCGGCACCCGGGGCGGGGCACACGTACTTACCTATATTTACTCTCCCAGACACGGTGAGCCCCATCGAGCATCGGCATTCCCGGACACAGCCCCGGCAAGTCCAAGAGGGGGCTGGCGGCCACTGCTCGGTGCACTGCTATGGCACTGCACCGCACGCACGCACGCAGCCCAGATATGGCGTGTTTGAGCGGAGCAAACAGAGGGAGGGCTGGCCTGGCTGGCCGGAATCCGACCCCAAGGGAAGACGAAGACGAGCGGTGTGTGTGATATGGCTCGCTGCATTCCATCGGGCAAGCACCGCGCCGACATTTTGTTCGCTCCTTTCAGTACCAAACCTCGAGCGAGTACGTCTTCACGTTTGTGGTCTCAAAGTGGGTTCGTTGTAGCTGCCCTCATGTCCTCGAGTTCCCCGAAATCACCTTTAGCGCTTGTAGCGCCTGTGAGGTAGGCCACCTCCCGTCCCGCAACACACCGGTGTGGAGACGGCGGCCTACCTTGCCCCGTGAAGACGACAGGGGCAGGGTGGGCCACCGTCTCCACACCGGTGTGTTGCGGGACGGGAGGTGGCCTACCTCACAGGCGCTCAAGGATGCTTTCCCGCTCGCGTCGAAACCGGGCCTGCCTTCCAATCCCAGCGCTCCAGGGGCTTCGGCTTGAGCGCACACCGCACTCGGGTCGGGGGCGAGCGTGCGGGGGAGCCCCTGGCTGCCCCTGGGAGGGGAGGCGGGGACGAGTTTCCGCTCCTCCTCTTCAGTTCCCGCTCGGAGCGCGTCCAGGCGACATGTGTGCTTCGCGTTGCCCGCGGCCGCGCCTCCTGGCGCTCTGGCCCGGGCCGGCCGTCCTGTTGGTGGCCGCTCTTGCGCTGGCGTGCGCGTCGAGTGCCATGTGCGAGCACGTCGAGGACGCCGCCGTCGAGGACCCCGCCGTCGAGTCGGCCCTGTGGGAGTCGCTGCTCGCCGCACCGTCTCCAGCGCCCGCGCCGGCCCTGGCCGCTCTGAACGATGGACCCATGCTTGGCGACGACGCCGGCGTGGACAACGTGGACAATGAAGACCTGTGGGAGACGCTGCTGGCCCCCGTCACACCCAGGCCCTTGGACTTGGACTTGACCGGGGGGTCGAGCAGCGCGAGCAGCGCGCACGGCGAGGCTGACTTGGCCCCGGGCAAGGCTCAGTCCCACGCCGAGGTCCTGGACACCGCCAACGAGGGCGGGCACCCTGCGACGCCCACGCCGACGGTGCGGCGGCAACCCGACGCCGTGTCCCTGGCGTTTGTGTTCGACTCGACAGGGTCGATGTCGGGGGAGCTGGCGGAGCTGAAGAAGGGTGCGGAGGACATCCTGAACGCGACGCTCAGCCGGCCAGACAAGCCCATCCACGACTTCGTGTTCGTCCCCTTCAATGATCCAGGTGAATGATGTGCACTTGCACTGATCGATCATTGTGTTCCCCTTTCCCTGTTCTTTACCTCTGGATCAATGTTGTAGAACAGTCTTTTGTTGTTTTTGTTCAAGTAACTTAGCACTTGTTCAATTTCTTGTTTGAAACGGAAAGAAATACTGCAAGATCTATTTTTGTATCATTTGCGAGACCCTCGACTTAAAATGGTCCTGTGATTACAGGCATTGGGCCAGCAACTGTCACGACAGATGCAGAAACCTTCAAGGCTCAGTTAGATGCAGTTAATGTGACAGGTGGGAGTGACTGCCCCGAACCGTCCTTGGCTGCGCTCCTCGAGGCCCTGCGTTTGGTGCGCCCAAATTCATTTGTTTATGTTTTTACTGATGCATCTGCAAAGGATTATTTCCTTTTACCAGATGTCCTAGCACTAGTACAACGCAAACAAACACAGGTAAGTATCACTCTGCCCTGTTTCATTTGTAGTTATTTCTAAATTAGAAAATGTCATCACTATTTTTATTTTTATCAGGTAGTGTTTGTGATGACTGGCAACTGTAAAGATGACAACACTGCTCGGTATCAGTCCATGGAAAATATTGCAACTGCAAGCTCTGGACAAGTGTATCACATAAACAAAACAGAGGTTAAAAATGTAGGTAATTGTTGTTTAAATTTAATTTATGCATGTTTTTTGGTAACAAATTCAATTTTCAGTGACAATTTACTTATCTTTGCCAGGTTTTAAGCTTTGTAAGGCAAACACTAGAATCTCAAAAGGTCAATCTAGTTTCTGTAGATTTACCAAAAGCTTCCAAAACAGAACATGCTGTACAGGTAGATGAAACTATCCGGGAGTTCACTGTGTCAGTATCAGGTATAAATCCTCAGATCTCAGTGGTAGATCCTGCTGGGGCAAGGCTAAACAATTCACCTCTAATGCAAAAAATCTTGGATTTGGACAATGTTAAGGTAAATGGTAAAAACAGTATCAATACATCCATTCATGTTTACCATCCTTTATGTGGTAATTCTCTCATTTTCAGGTCATTGCAGTTAAAGAACCATCTCGAGGATCATGGACAGTAGAAACATCAAGTGATTCTAAGCATGCGATTCGTCTAACAGGACTTAGTGTCGTTGATTTTTCATATGGTTTCTCAGTTCAAGCCACTGACCGTCTAGATGAAACTTATCATAGACCCTTGCTAGGTATGCAAAAAATTTGCTTTGTGTTTAGTGATGTTTATTTATATGTGAGTTCTTTAGTGATTTGTTATTTGCAGGTGCCCCTAACTTTATTTTGGTTGGTGGAACTGACATGGGAAGTGTGTGGAACTTGACATCTGTAGATCTTCTTGCTGTTGATGGTTCAACTTTACAAACAATTCCTCTTTCCCCTCTCGATGCCCTTGATGGGCTTTATCACGGTGGTCCGTTTGTGCCACCTGGTCAGGACGTCTTATTTAATTTGGCTGTATGTGTTTGTTTGAACATAGTATATCCAGTCAATTTCTCTTTCCAAAAATATTATTAAAATGTTTATTCTCTTAATTGTCTTTTTAAAATTATTTTTCTAGAATTCTGGGTATGATAAAGATGGTTTCCTTATCAAAAGAATCACGCCTACAGCTATTAGTGCTCAGTCTGGTGGTAATGTTAATTTCGCGCTTGTAAATATGCATTGATTGTGCATGGGCAAGTAGTACTTTATTTATTTTTCACAGGTTTGCCATTGGTTGAGTTGCAATCAGAAACACAAGTTTGGATCAATGGATCTCTTAATCTCCGGTGCCAGATTGACTCTCTACTCCCATTTACATCCTGGTTTCTCAAAAACGGCATGCCCATTTCCAAGAAGCAGAAGTATCAGTGAGTTCCCTGTATTATCATTTCTGTTGAAATTACTTTCCCTGTTAAATTCAGTCACTCATTTTCTGTGTCTTCATTGTCTTCTTAATAGACAGACCACACTTATGACAAAGAAAATAGAAGGACTCACAGAGGAAATGGGAGGAGAATATGCTTGCCGTGCAAGCAATGTCAAAGGCCACAGCAGTGATTCAGTTCACATTATAGTGACAGGTAAGCATTCAAAACATTTAAAAAAAAAAAAAAATAACGTTGGTCTAACAAGTTGTAGTTATTGTCATAAAAATGTTTTTAAGGACCTCCCCCTGAAGTTGTTACTGAATCAAAATTGGAGATTCATGCACAAAGCCAAGTAGTTCTAGACTGCCTCATTGAAAGCAAACTGAAATTTAACATGACATGGATGAGAATTTACAGAGATTCACCAAGAGGTAAGTCTTTAAAAAATATCCATGCGATGGCTGTTATGCGTGCAAATTTTGCATTTATGTGGTCTTTGGTATTTCTTTTAAAGGTGAAGAACTTGTCGAAAATAATGCTCGGTACATCATCTTGCCCAACTCTTCATTGGTTATTGATCCTGCTCTTCCTGAGGACACAGGATATTTTTCTTGCGTAGCAGAGAATCAAGGTGGTCCTTACAATGTGTTTTATCGTGGGAATATGAGGGGAAAGAGACTTTGTTTGATCCTGTGTTTGATCTTTTCAGGAGGCAGAAGGGAAAGTCAAGTTGAGCTGTTGGTCTATGAGCCTTTGCACATTTCTACACATCCTAAAAGTTTGAACTTCCAAGCAGGAGATTCATTTTCTATCATGTGTGAAGCTAATACTTTACCTTCAGAATTTTACTGGGTACAAGATGGACATATTTTGCCATACAAAAATGTAGAGCGCATGACTGTTGAAGTAATTGGACACAGACTGACTCTTCTCATTAAGAATGCTAAGATAGCTGATCAAGGAGTTTACCAGTGTATAGGAACCAACAATAAAGAAACGGGTGATGAAACTTCTCCAAGCCTCTCATCTCTTAACTTTAAGGAATTTTTACTTAATGTATTTTATTTTTATATTTTTACAGTGGAAGCTGGTGTAGAAGTATATATTGTAGAAATGCCTTCTGTTAAAATTGGGAAAGATCAGGTAATGGTGAAGGCTGGCGATCAAGTACTTATTAAATGTGCTGCTGATGGAATCCCAAAGCCAAAGACAAGATGGCTGTGGCAAGGAATGGATGTGACTTCTTTGTCAAATTTTAAGGTACATTTGATTTATTTTGGTACTAAGTTGGTTTGAACTAATTAAGGAATTAGAAATAATGCATCTTTAATTCAGGTCTTTGAGGATGGATTCCTTCAAATAGATAGTGTTGTAGCAGAAAACTCTGGACAACTAGACTGTGTTGCAAACAATTCAGTGGGTGAAGTGAAAGACTCTGTAAATCTGACTGTTGGATACCCTCCTGTTGTATTGGATAAAACTGAAGGTACATTATTACTCAATAAAAGTCTTAAATTTCTGTTCTTCAACAAATAACTGGCTTTGGCATGCTAAGAAACAGATTGTTTTTGTTTGCAGTTTTACAACTTGAAGTTCAGGGATCTGGAGCCTTATTGTGCCGTGGCTCTGGGATTCCTCATCCTCTGACACATTGGGAGCGGAAAGATGGTCATGATATAGATGTGACAAGGATACACCATAATTCTTCAACAGGTGTACTTCTCTTCTCAGGTGAGATGAAGTGAGTCAATTTAGACTTATTTATTTAATTTAACTAAGTTAATAAGGGCATTGTGAATAAAATAAATATAAAATTTATTATGTCTTTCATTAGATGCTAAAGTTACCGATGAAGGTACTTATATTTGTGTCCTGGAAAATATATATGGTCGTGTTGTACTTGAAGAGAAAGTTATTATTACGGGGATTGGTGAGTGAAGACAGCATAGACTATATTGTTCTTTGAGTTAAACTGTTTGTAACTTTTTATTTCTGTCTCATAGTTGCCCCAGCACTGGCAGAAATGGAATCTGAGTTTGAAGAGATAGAATCTGTTGTAGGGGTGGATATTGAGCTAACTTGCAAAGTATCTTTAGGAAATCCCACTCCATTCATAACTTGGTCCAAAGATGGATATAACATGGATTCAAATAACAAGCTTGAAAGAATTGACTTCCATGTAAGCTAGTCTGAAATAGACGTAAGAGCTCTACATACCCTGTATTTTGAGTTATGTCATCATGTTATTTCTTTTTATTTTCAGCCAAACAACTCATTAATTATTCAAAAAGCTGACCTAACAAATGTAGGAAGTTACAAATGTGAAGCCACTAATGTTGGTGGATCTGTATCTCGGCATATATATCTTACGATAATTGGTAAGTTTTTAAAGTTGACAAGTTCTTAAGTACTTAAACAAAAGTGTAAATTATGTTTTTTTGTTGTTTTGTTTTTCAAAATGATATTGGCACAGTTATGATGTTTGCTTTCACATATATATATTTTTTTTTTTTTTTTTTTTTTTTTAGAACCACCAATTCTGGACAGCTCAGATCTGCTCAATCTGACTGAGAAAGTTGGAAACAATGCTCTTCTTCCTTGTCATGCTTATGGAACTCCATTACCGGAAATACAATGGCTGCAAAGTGAAAATAACACCATCGCGCTTACTGAGAGAATGTAAGATTGTCCCTTGGTTTTAAATTTGTTAACGTAAGTTTGATCTATGAGTCAAAATGTTTACCATAGAACATTTTTTTAAAAGCTCTTGAACATAGGGTGCTACTTTCTCTATTCACAGATCACTAACATACGAAGGCCTGCTTATCATTGGTGTACGATTAGAAGATGCAGGACGATACACTTGTGTGGCTACTAATTCAGCTGGATCTGCCAACAGAAGTGTTGCTCTGACAGTTCAAGGTATTCTATTTTTTTTTTCTCTGACTTTTTTTTCTACTTATGTTTATGAAGTGAAATAAGTATACTCCTCAACTGTTAAATTCCCTTGACAGATCCTCCCCACATTGTTGGTGAAACAGTAACAGAGTTGGTAGTTAATGTAGGGGATGTTGTCCGCCTTCCATGTACTGCATCTGGTGAACCTACACCTGAATATGTATGGACTCACAACTATGAATTCATGGATTATAATGATCATATGTAAGAGATTTTAGTTTGCATTCCTACACATGAAATGCAAACAGTTTGGGGTACCTCTTCAATCATTATTTTTAATAATACTATTTTTCACTCCAGCTTTCCAAGCATAACCAGTGATGGTTTGGTCATAACTTCTGTTGTCGTGAATGATGGAGGAGAGTATCTTTGTTCTGCCATTAATGATGTGGGTACAGATAATAAAACTATAACCGTCACTGTTCAAGGTATATTCATCTTTCAGTGATTAATTTTTTCTTGCAACCTTCAATATTGTGTTTGTGTGTGGTTTTTTTGTGTGCGCACACAAAGATTATTAATCCTTGTCTATCTTTCACAGAACCTCCGTTTATTGAATCTGCTGACTCCGTCATAGTGGTTACCAAAGGTGATTCAGCTCAGCTTATGTGCAAAGCAAGAGGAATACCTCCACCAAGAATAGCATGGACCTTTAAGGGTCAACCATTATTGACAAATAAATTGTAAGCATTTTTCAAAACTTATTTCCAATTTTGTGAAACTTTCTTGTAACCCCTCCTTTGTTCCATAATTTTAATGTAATATTAATAGGGTGTCTTACTGAAATTTTTTTATTGTCACAACCGCAGGCAAGTTGAAAGTGATGAATCCATCCTCGTCTTGTCGAACATTCAAGAAAGCGATTCAGGGTCGTACATTTGCACAGCATACAACTTGGCTGGCTCAGATGCTAGGGCTGTTAGGATGGTAGTCCAAGGTAAATTTGGTTTTTTGAATGATAAATCATTTTATTTCATCATAGTGTCATTCCTTTATTTAACAAGGAACTTACTTTTCTGATCTACAGTGCCACCTGCAATTGAACCTTGGGAACAGAGTTTAAAACTTTCGGAAGGTCAGGATTTACTTCTGTACTGCCACATGTATGGAATACCAGTTCCTCAAGGTTCATGGTTTAAAGATGGTGTGTCAATAACACCCACAGATGTCATGAACTCCTCAATACAATATAAGTGAGTCAATCTTCCATTTTCTCTTATCTAGATGTAATGTGCTAAACCTAGTACTGAACTGTTTTTGGCATCTCTTTAGAGTCCGTGCAAAACTCACAGATGCTGGTAACTATACTTGCAAAGCTGAGAACATCATTGGTATAACGTCAAGATCCATTCAAGTCAGTGTATTTGGTTAGTACAGAATATTTTTAGTGAGAACTAAAAACTTTTGATATAGTCTTCTTAACAATGAGATTTTATTGACAGCCCCTCCGCGGACTTTGACTCCTACCAACATAACTATTAGTAAGCTAAGTGAAGATGATGTTTCATTGGACTGTATCACTTCTGTATTGTATGGATACCCAGAGCCAACTATCAACTGGACTTTCAATGGAGATCCACTAATTGAATCGAATCAAAATGTTTTTATGAGGTAAGTGTGACATTGACTTTTCGAAGGTGGGGAGGAAGTGCTATAGCTATAATTCAGCCAAATTTTTCACTCTTTACTTTTTAGCTTGGATGGAAATACGCTTAATATCCGTAAAGTACTTCTCTCACAATCTGGTGTATATGAATGTTATGTTAAGAACGAAGCTGGCAACTCTTCAAGAAACTTTAATGTTGTTGTTCATGGTAAGTATTGTACCCACCAATTGATAAATTCATCCTATCTTAAACTTTTCTTCAAATATCAAATTATGTTGTTATTCCCCTCTAGAACCTCCGTTTATTTTGGATGAATTCCCAAATAGAAAGATTCTAATGGAAGGGGAGGACTTATCTATACCTTGCTCTGCTAGCGGTACACCAAAGCCAGTCCTATCGTGGATGTTCAATAATGTGACTTTGAGTTTGAGTGAGGACTATGGTATGTTAAGTATTTGTATTTTCTACCTTTTTGATAAAAATTAACAAATTACTAATTGTTTTCTTCCTTGAAGATGATCTTCTGTTGATGAAAGACAATACACTTGTAATTATTTCCGCTCAAGCAAATACATCTGGTCTTTACACATGTGTTGCTCAGAATGAAGTGGGAGAACATAGGCAAGAGATATTTATTGAGGTTCATGGTATGATTTCAAATGCTTCATATTTTTTTCATCATTCAGATTTATCACTTATTAAGTTGTTTTTCCAGTTCCTGTTCCTCTGACAAGAAATAATGTTATTCGTAAAGAAGTTGAAGAAGGTGATGATATTAAGTTGCCATGTAACGCCCCAGACGCCTCTACGAAGGAATGGGAACAGGTGTGTGTTTGTGAACTATTCTTCCAATCAGACTTAAATGGATTTATTTGAATTCGATAACTTTTTAGGATGGAGTAACCATTGACATAAAGGCTGCTAAAGATCGGTCTGATGAAGCACATTTTAGACTTCTTGATGGTGGAAAATATCTGGAAATAAATGAAGCTCGTCCAACTGATAATGGTACTTACACTTGCATTACATCTAATCCTGATGGTAGCGAGACACATTTGAATTACCATCTGGAGGTATTGTGGGCTCCATACTTTGAAGAATTTGGTGTCAGCCAGAAGAAGTTTACTGTCAAAGAAGGGAACAATGTAACTTTTGATTGTCTAAGCAGTGGAAGCCCTATCCCTAAGGTACATCAAATTTTTGACATTAAGCTCTATCATATATTTACTTGCAACTAAACTAATGTTCCACTTTAAAATTTGTCAAGGTCATTTGGAAGATAAATGATTCTTTACCTGTGACGGAGCGCACTTCCCCGGGTGTTGTGGTTCTACCATCAAGCCGTCATATGCTAAGAATACCTATAGTGCGAGCCCATCATGATGGCATTTATAAATGCCAAGCAATTAATAGACTAGGATCTGCTTACAAAACATTTATTCTCCATGTCATTGGTATGCATGCCTCTCATGTTCTCTTTAATGAAATATTCTAACTTAAAATCCGTCTTCCTTTTTATTCTAATTTTCTAATCCATTTTTCAGTTCCTCCCTACATTGAAAATGATCCAGGGGATCATTATGAATTTCTTCGAGGTGAAACAGTAAACCTTGAGTGTCCAATTCTGGGTGCGCCACACCCCCTCTATACCTGGGAGCATAAACGCAATCATCCATTTGTTGTGTATGTTTTCCATTCTTATAATTCTCCAACATGTCTAGTTTGATGAAAAAAATTGTCCTATCATAGCTTCTTTTGTGTTTTAAATTCCTTTTTAGTGATAGTGGTGCAGCTAAATTGCAGAAGAATTCTCAAACTTTGGTCATCCCCAACATTGACTTCTCCGACGGAGGTTTATATGTCTGCAATGGAAGCAACCAGGCAGGCTTCAAGCTAAAATACTTTAATGTTTCCATAATGGGTAGGTCAAATTCCAAAGTACCTCATTTGTTTCATGCTTAAATTGACACAATAATGTAAAAATGCTTGTTGCTCTATTTTTAATTTTGTTGCTGCTTGCATCACATGCTTTCAGGTTTACAGAAATCTTCCTCCAAGTCAGGTAAATACTTTTCGGTTGAGCTGGGCATCAAAAAGACAAGCTAATACATGTAATGTAAAATGACCTTAAAGTTCAATCATTTAAGTTACTGATATTTCTGTTAATTTCTGTTACTATTCTAGAGGCACCTATCATTGAGGATGCAGAAGAAAATGAAATTAATGCTTTAGTGGGGAGTCCTTTATCACTGGTGTGCACAGCCCATGGACAGCCTTTGCCAGACATACAGTGGACCCACAACGGACACATGCTTTCATTAGAAGACACAACAGAAACCTCTGACTTGGATACTGCATCTGTTTCCCAAACCCTTACCTTAGCTTCTTCTGGGGCCACAGATAGTGGAAAATATGTGTGCCATGCTACCAATAATCGGGGCACTGCGGAAAAAGTGTATCGTGTCCACTTCATAGGTAAAGATATAGTAGTTTACACATCGTTCGTTTTAAAAAGATGTTCTGGAAGTGATGGTATAGTAATTATTTTACTATTTCAATTCATTTCAACAGTTCCTCCAAGGATAAACGGAGTAGCAACGTCAGTTGTGGAAAATGTCACATCAGTCCATGGGCTTCCATTCAGTCTGCATTGCCATTCGTCTGGTGAACCCATGCCTGTTGTGTCATGGTTAAAGGAAGGTGCCAGCCTTAAATCAGACATGGTAATCAAAATTGATGGTACTCGTGGAGAAACTCTTCATTTTCGTCATTCTTCTGAAGAGCATTCTGGAAATTATACTTGTATTGCAAGAAACAGTGCTGGATCTGTCTCAAAGACGTTCCTCCATGATGTGTTAGGTAATTACTTAAAGAATTGATTTTCATAATTCTTATTCAATACTGGTTAACTTACACCTTTTCTTTTTATTCAAAATCTTTTTTCAACCTGCAGTTCCTCCATATAATCCAAACAACATTGAGGAATTAGAGGCAAACGTTTTACGTCATAAGTCCTTCAGCCTTCATTGTGATTTTAGAGGCCATCCAGAACCAAAACTTTTATGGATAAAAGGTATCGAAGCAATATCGGTTTCCAATTTGTCGAGAGGCTTGAATCTTACTGATAACGGCCGCACATTGGTAAGATTTGGTTTGATTTAAACCTCATTTATTATTTAAAAAATCATCTGATTAACATAAGATTTTGCAGGTCATAACACCAACTGAACTGTCAGATGCTGGACGTTACTCATGCTTGGGCTACAATGAAGCTGGTTCTGCTGAACTCATGTATCATGTTAAAATTTCTGGTAAAGTTTCCTAATTTACTATATCTGAAATCTAAAATCACCCCACTTGTTTCATTTATTTAAGAAAGAAACATTGTTTTTATGAACAGAGCCACCTCAGAGGAATGAAGCAATCACCAGTAACTTCACTCTTGTGACGTTGAAGCCTCTTCGAAGATTTATGTTTTTATGTGCGATGACTGGTTCTCCACCTCCAAGTATAGCCTGGTTTAAGGTAGAGATTCAGTTCAAATTAAGCAGGAATACAACCATCAGTGTTCATATTGAAGATTACTATTGAATGATATATTTTTAGGGAGGTTTTCCAGTAGAGAATAGTAGTCTTAACGGAACCATTCAGATATCTTCTGACGGTCGGCAACTTCACATCCTTAGTGCTACCAACGATCATGAAGGACTGTACAAATGCCATGGTGAAAATGCTGCTGGCTCAACTAATGCTTTCTTCAAACTGGAGTTGGACTGTAAGGCCTTTACCAATAACTATGTATTATTGAAATGGTTTGCCCGTATGTTTGCCTGTATTGTGTTGTTTTGCAGTGCAAGGTGATTGGGGTGAATGGTCAGACTGGGGTTTCTGCAGTGTGTCTTGCGGCTTTGGAACCCAAGAGCGCAAGCGGGATTGCCTCACTTCTAATTGCCCCGGAGAAACTTTCGAAACAAGACCATGCTTTATGTCAAATTGCCCAGTAAGAATCCTTGAATCCTTAAGAACGTTTTTCATTGACTGTTTATTCCTATTTGTTAAACATCTTTGGGTTTTGCAGATAAACGGAGGCTGGAGTAATTGGACAGAATGGTTCGGCTGTGATCAACAGTGTGGCCAGTTGAAAAAGAATCGGTCAAGAGAATGTAATAACCCAGAACCAGCCTATGGTGGTCATTTCTGTGAGGGAGAAGCCTTTGAAATAGAAAACTGCAACCTGCCTTTGTGTCCAGTGGATGGAGGATGGTAATCTCTCTCACTTTGTTAAGCAATGCTCACGTACTCTACTTCTCTCTTACTAATAATCTTTTTGCTCTAAGGTCCACCTGGTCTGAATGGAGTGCTTGCAGTGTTACTTGTGATGCAGGTGTTCAAATTCGGCACAGAGAGTGCAACAGTCCAGAACCTGCTCATGGTGGCCAAGTTTGTGTAGGACCTTTTAGTGACACTAAAAACTGTTATAATGAACCATGCTTTGGTAAGCAAACAAACATCAACTTCCGAGGTTATTTATCAGCACTGAGCTTTGTTTGATTCTTTCCATGTTTCTGTTTCCAACTTACAGGCTCTTGGTCAGAATGGTCTGAATGGAGCCATTGTTCTGCAACATGTGGCCCTGGGCAAAGATCTCGCACTCGGAAATGTTTTTCGCAGTGGCATGACTGCGATGGACATAATAAGGAGGTAATGTACTTCTTTCAAATTTTACTGCAAACTCTGGTCTGAATTTTGTTAATCTCATGTTTTACTTTCTATAAATAGTTTGAGTACTGCAAGCTGAGACTTTGTGCCAGAAATGGACCAAAAACTGCACATCTATATTTACATGGAAGTTTGAATGGATATAACTTCAGAGATGATACTCTTTATGCCGATATATATGGTGATGAAGAAATCAAACGGAGCTTTATTTCAACAAAACTCCATAACATTCGAAAACGTGAGGTAAGTGGTTGTTTTTTCTTGTTGTTAATTTTAATGTGGAGTCTGGATCAAAAGTTATAAATTTGATATTGAATTTTCCTAAGGTACCAATTCAACCCATTGTGCCATTGCTGGTATCGCCCATTTCATGGAATGCTGCATATGAGGAAAAAGAAGCCAGAAATGGATTTTCTCTCACCAAAGGACTCTTCAATCAAGCTTCAACAGTTCATTTTGCAACAGGTAATTTCAGTACCATACTTAGATACCTAATTATTAGCTAATTTTGTATTGTATTTATTTATAAGAAATTTTTATTCAATTTGCTTACCTTTGCATTTTTATGTCCAGGCCAAGAAATGGAGATGAGGCATATAGGGCAAGGCGTTGACCATGCTGGTCAGCTCAAAGTCGATATAGAAGTAATTGGGGAAGTGCCATATGTACAACCTCGAGCTACAATTGTAGTACAACCCTTTTCAGGTCAGTGTTGTTTGAGTGTGTCTTCTGAATTGAAACAACTGCAATAAAAATTTAACAAAGCCGTATTCTGTCGTGTTTTTGCAGAGGACTTTGTTCAGACTGGCCCTAATACTCTTTATATCACATCAGAAGGAACACTCTCTGCTGATGGCCAAGTAATTCCATATTTATGGAATAGCACTGTGTCATACAATGCAGACGGAGGTGCAATGCCGTATGTATTGAACATTTGATCCATTTATGTTTGTAACTATTGTAAATTTTATATTACCTCTGTCCTTTAGGTATCTTTCTGAGAAAATGTCAACTGACCATATTATTTCAAACTATGATCATGATTTACAAGAAATGCGATACACAGTTTCAACAGTTATCTCAAAGAGGTTTGATGATAACAAATGTCCTGAAGGCTTTATTTTGAATCCAGAACAACAGCATTGTGAAGGTCTGCAGATCAAATAAATTATCCTAATAAATGTTTCCAGTAATTTGCATCATTACGTTATTTTTTTCAGATGTTAATGAATGTTTGGACAATGCTTCCAATAAATGTCATTTAACGCAAGTATGTGAAAATCTCCTTGGGTCATATCGCTGTACATGTCCTACTGGATTTCGAGCTTTGAACATCGGCACCCGCTGTCTTGGTATGTTCAGATATTTGATAGTCATACACTTTCTTTTTCAAAGATGTATTCTTGATTTGATATTATTTTTTTTCTGTAGATGTAAATGAATGTCTTCAAGAACCTGAGCTGTGCTCGCATGAATGTAGAAATGTACCTGGCAGCTATCACTGTATATGCCCTCCAGGAACTTACCTCCTAGAAGACAGACATTCATGTTCTGGTATTTATTGACTTCCATCACCTAATAGAGACATGTTGAAACATTTGAATTATTATCTTTATTAAATTAATAATACATTGGTTATTCTACAGCATCATCATATTGGGATGATCCGGATGAGACCTATGGCATGTCTGATGTATATGGTGAAACTAGCCCCATCAGAGAAGCAGAGAAGACTCCAGAGGATTTGGCCCAGCCATATCATAGCCAATATGATGGCCCCCAGGAATTTCATCTGGCTGAAGAGGAGTGGGCCTGTGGTGAAGGTCTTGTTTGGAGAGATGGTCAATGTCAAGGTATGTATCATCGTGAACGTATTTTTTGACTTCCTAGTAAATTTTATTGCCATCACAGCTTTCCGAATCTATAAGTGAAACTGGACACTTTCCAGATGTGGACGAGTGCCTGGATGATCCTGACATTTGTGGAGAGGACGAGACTTGTTTAAACATGCATAAAACATTTAAATGCCTCTATACACCGTGTGGAGAGGGATTCAAACGGGATTTAATTAGCAGGTAGCTTTGAACCACTTAACTTACAGAATGCATTGATCTCAGTCAATTATAATTTTCTTATGTATTCATTGTATTCTAGAGAATGTATAGCTGTTTGCAGTAGAGAGGTACCTTGTGTAAGTGGTGCTAAACAAGCTGAAAAGAAAGTTTTCATGGCCCTACCTCTTGACACAACAAGCAATCAACCAGGAATGGACCTGGTGCATTTGCACATCTCTCATGGCCTTGTTGGTCCCGGAAAACCATATTCTCACACCAAGTACTACTTTGTGAGTGATCACAGAGGTACGTCTATCAATTAAAGTTTTAATTAATTTCTCTATTCCAAGGGTACTTCTCAACCTTTCCTTGATCATAATTTTAGGTAAAATGTTTCATTTGAGGCAAGAGGAAGGCAGTTGTGCTGTATTCATTTCCAAGAAGCTGAAGCCTGGAAAAGTTTATAGGTAAACGAACAGCTGTATGTTACCATGACTTAATATTCTGAATGTGTTTGCATGGATATAATCTTGACTGTCTTCTTTTCAGGGTTGAAGTTCAAGGAGATATGTTTTCAGAGAGCACAAAGACTATCCTATTTTCTACCAAATTTACACTTTTCTTCCATGTCTTTAAAAGAGAAAACCAATGATGCAAGAGTGAAAAACTATTTTATTTTTGGTAGCTATCACAAATTCTGTAGCATTTATTTTTACAATTAGTTATTAAGGCCAAATATGTTTTCAGTCTCTTATTGTAAACAACCAGTATTTTCACTAGATGCTAATTAGAGGAAGACGAAGTATTCCAGTCAGTTCGTTCACTATTTGCTTTGTATACAATTCTGGGCAAATGTATGTGAAACCTTAAATATCTACTCAGGACATCATGAGATTTGAAATACATGTATTTTGGAATTATTTTAGATTACATAAGGTCTCATAGTTTTATTTCAGACATGGCCTATTTAACCAAAGTTGGAATGGGGCAAGAATCTGTGAAAGACTCGATGTGTTTAATCACTTCAGGTACCTCAGGAGGGTTGCTGTGACAGCCAGTGTAAGCTTGGAAGATTGCATTCTTCAATGCCAGCTCCTTCCGCAAACGAGCTTCCTCAGAAAGCAGGTGCATCCTCTCGCGCTCCTGCTTTTTCTCCATGAACTGATAATGCTCATAGAAGTCTGAAGCCAATTTCAGAAATGCACGTGTCTGTGTCATAGAGAAAAACGCATTATTACATTGTCTTACATATTATAATCACACTCAACATTCGAAATTTTGCTTACCTTCTCGGTCTGTCGGTCGTTCCTGTCGACCATTTGTGCAATGGATAGCAACATTTTCTCCTTGAGGGCGGCGTTGGACAAGTCATCCACCAGCCTCTGCACGCCGAGCTCCGCCTCCGCCAAGCTCTGCTTCCTAGCTGGAGCCGCACCCCGGTCACCCTGCCCCTGGCCGTGTCTGCAAGCAGCCAGTGCAGCCAGGTCTTCCCTGCCGACTTCGGCATCGCAAGCCCGCATGGCAGGTCTGCACCAACCTCTCTGCAGCGCCGTCGCCGCGGCTGCCCATCTGCTCCTGGATCCATCGCACCATCTGGACGGTGGTCTCCTGGTGGTACTTGCCGTGCATCTTCCACACCTGCCGGCGGTGGCTACGGTGGCGGCGCTGCTGGTGGGGCGAGGCCCGCGACAGGGGCGCGGAGGACGCCCTGCAGGCCTGGTGGCAGGCCTGGTGGCAGCGCCGCGCGCCCAGCTCGCTCTCCGCGCTCGTGTTGCTGCTGCTGCTGCCGCTGCTGTCCTCCGCCGACGACGTCGTGGTGCTGCACGGGTCGGCCTTGCCGCCCATCCTGTCCGCCATGATGAGCTTCTTGAGGGCGCGCATCTCCTCGTTGTAGTGACTGAGCGCCGACCGCGGCCCCCGTGCCACCCGTGCCCCCAGCGAGGCGAGCGCGTTCACGTTGCGCGTCGGCATGTTCTTGATGTGCTTGGCGCGACTCGCGTACCTGACGACCAAGGTAAGCGAGTCCTAAAGTCAGGGCTCTACGGCCAGGGCCAGAGCACCACACACACACACCGCCACTGCCTCACCGCAGCGTCATGAGGCTCTCGTCGTAGTTGTAGCTCGCGGGGCCGATGTTGGCGATCATGATGGCCTTGGAGTTGCCACCGAGCGAGTCTTGCAGCAGCTGCGTCAGCTTGGAGTCGCGGTACGGGATGTGGCGGTGCCCCTGGCCGGCCCGGCCGTCCACGAGGGCCGAGATGACGTTGCCCAGCGCGGACAGGGACAGGTTGATCTTGCTGGACTCCTTGAGGCGGTCGCCCACCGCGCCGGTCTTGCACTGGCGCTCGCTGCCCGCCAAGTCCACCAGGTTCAGCTTGCCCATGCGGAAGCCGCTGCCCTGGACTGGCGCCGTCAGGGGGCCCTGGCCAGGCTTGACGCCCGGGCGCCGCGCCGCGTCCTAAAACGCCAAAGGTGAAGCAACGCAACAGCGACGCTCAGCCCGTCTCCCGCCTCTCCAGTCCCGTACCCGCATCTCGATGGTGATCTGGAAGATGGCGTGCGAGCGCGAGCTGTGCTCGTTCATGTTGGTGGCCGCAGTGGCGCGGTTCACGTTGCCCACGCGCATCACGCGCTCGATGGCCTTGATGTTCTTGCAGACGACGGACTGCAGCCCCTTGACGTACACGCCGCGCACCGCGTCCTCACCCCACAGCAGGGAGAACTGCCTGCGGTCGCCCTGGCCGTGGCCCTGGCCCGGCTCGGGGCTCAGCAAGTCGCGCGTCTCCTCCTGCGAAGTGCGAGCAAGGCGGATGCCGCCGACGCCGCGGCTCGGGACAATGCTCTAGCCGAAGCCCGTGCGAGCCACTGGCGTCGTCACGCACCTGGTAGATCTCGAAGTAGGAGGCGCGCACCACGTAACTGGTGCGGTCGCTCGTGTAGGCGATGTGCCGGAAGATGTCCTCAAAACACTTGGACGAGATGCCCTTCTCTCTGGCACCCTGGCCCTGGAAGCAGGCGAGTAGGTCGAGCCCGTAAAGAGGCCTGGGTACGATTCGAATCCCCAGTGTGATTACGTTTTCTCAAGCCCAGAGCAGAAGATTCCGGTACCATCAGTCTAAAGTTTGGGCACATGGCCTGCGTGTCTCAGTGGATCAGGGCGGAGAGGCAGCGGCAGCCTGGAATGAGGACCTGGATTCGCGTTCCAGGGACGTGAATATTTTCCTCAGTTGACCGCTTATAAATGCGGTAACAGTATGAGTTTGGGCACTCCGAGTGTCAGTTGGCTCAGGTGGCCGAGTGAGCAGAGGCATCTGCCGCGCTGAGAGATACGTGGGTTCGAATACTCAAGTGTAACAACATTTTGCTCGGCCAGACTGTTGATGTATCTTAAACTCGGCACCATCACTCTAAGATTGATCGCACCCCTTCGTAGTGCCTGGGTGGCTGAGATGGTAGAGGTGACGACTGGCCGGGGGAAGCCCCGGGTTCGACTCCCAGGAGGTTGAATCTTTTCCTCAGATTACTTCTCAAAGCCGGTACCATCACTCTAAGATAGGACGTTCTCATATCATATGTGTCTCGGTAGCTCGGATGGTTGCGAGAGCGACCAAGAGAGCGCCCTGGGTTCGACTCCCAGGCGGGTTGATCTTTTCCCCATTTACTGCTCACATCCGGTACCATCACTCTAAGATTGGACGTGTCCGACAGATATGTGTCGCCGTAGCGCAGTGGGCAGGGCGGCGGCACGACAGTTCTCTGAGGCCCTGGTTCGCCACCAGGTCGGTTCGTCTGGGAGTATTCCCGGGACTGAATTTCCATTAACCCTTTATGATGCCTCTACTCCACCCTCCCTTCGGGGAGGGGGGGTAGGGGGGGTGGGGACCCGATGAGGGGAACTCTTTTGCCGTTTCAGATGGGGAGAAACGCGAGTTTGCTTTTCTTATAGCCAGGCTGACGCTGATTTCCCATCACCGCACGGAGACGTGTCGGATGGGCGAACAATGACGCCGTGAAGGTAGGCTACCCCTTTGACACGGGATCTCGCTCTTCACATCGAGATTGCGCCTAAAAGGTACGCCACTCAACCTGCATGTAAGTTTAGTTTCTGCCTTTGGCCGCGATTTCTTTACGCTCTGAGCCACCCAGACTGGTGATACGTGATTCAATGTTCAACTGAGGAAAACATTTCCACCCCTGGGATTTGAACTCGGGGCGGCCGCCATCTCTGCACCCTGAGCCACCAAATCTCACAATCACTACCCGCCCAAACTCCAGGTGATTCTCCGGGTTCAAGAAGTGAACTGAGAGTTTAGTAACCAAACTCAGCTAAAGGGACTCGACCCCGAGCACTTCCCCCATGGCAGACAACTCCTTAGCCCACTCAGCTACCAACTCTCTTAGAAGGAATTGCCACAAAACTTGAACTGATGATGTGATAAAGTGATGAGTGTCTGGGATTCGAACCCAGATACTGCTCATAGCGGACGATACTCTTTTTTGTTTGTGTCTACCGCTGAGTCCAGCGATGTGCTAAACTAAGGTGTCCGACAACCCTTTGTGGGACCACCTTTACCTGTTGCTGCTGGCTGCCCAGCATGGTGTACGTCTTGCCCGTGCCCGTCTGGCCGTACGCGAAGATGGTGCCGTTGTAGCCGTCCAGGACCGAGTACACCAGCGGCTTGACCGTGTTCTCGTACAGGTCGTCTTGGTTCGAGTTCCAGTCGTACACCGAGTCGAAGGTGAACATGCGCGCCGACGCCCGGCCCGGCGCCTTCCGCGGCTTGGTGATGTGGACGATGCCTGCAAGGAGCGTGACGTGCGGGACGGGAGCTTGCCGCCTGCCTCCAGCATAGCGCCCTCCAGAGTGATTCCGGTCATCGCCGTCCCTCCCGAACCCACGGGGCATTCCCTGTAGGTGCGAGAGAGACGGCGACGGATGGCTGGCCGGAATCAGACTTCTGGCGGGCAAAGCCGTCAAAGCAGAAGCCAAACCCACCCCGCTGCGGCCACATGTCGATGATCTGCGTGTGGCCCTGGCCCTCCTCCTTGCGGCTCATGGGCCGGCACCGCACCACCACCTGCACGCTCTCGCCCCTCTCCCTCTCCACCTTGCCGGGCAAGGCGCCAGGCATGCCCTGCTTGGCCGGGCCCAGCGGCCCGCGGCTTCTCTTCGCGTTCATGGCCCCTGGAGCCCCTTGTAATTACCACTAATTGTGATTCGGCGGGCGGGCCAGGCTAGCCAGGGGGGCCACCGCGGGCAGCCGCGGGGCGACCAGTGTGCCGGTGCCAACAGAGGGGCCCGGCCGCCCCGCGCGCCCGGCTGCCTGTTGCCAGGCGTGGCAGGCTCGGGGCTCGGCGAGCCACGCGGCCTCCAACAACCATGTGAAGCTCAAGGCGAGGCCTCAGAAGTGTTTTGCGCCCTGTATGCCTCTGAACAATGGTGCCGTGAAGGTAGGCCACCCTTCCACACGTCACAGCGCGATGATAGGAAATAAGAGACATCCTGGGAGGCTCCTTGACCTTATGTGTGATGTGACAACGCAGCTCTCTAGCTTTTAAACCACCAAAAGAGAAGTACATACCAGAGACTCTACAGGTGTAAAGACCAAAACATGAAATGGAGTCTTGCAGCAGTAGGTTTATATTTTTACTTTAAGACACTAAAAGAAAACATTTCATTCATTTCCAAATTATAAAAGCACTAAATTAAAACACTGATATAAAAGTAAGAAACAAAGCCTTAAAAATTTCTATATATTCTGACACTAAACAAAATATTTCATTGATTTCCATATTAAAATTCATTCATTAAAACTTTTCATTGATATTGATAAGAAAAAACTCAACAAGAATTCCCAGAAGACACAGCCAAATTTAAAAAAAAGTCTTAGTTGCTTCTATGTGCAACATTACCTCCGTTTTCATGGGTACAAACAGCTTTGTACTGAGTTGCCCAGGTTTCGATTCGATCTCGGCCATACATCTGGAAAAGAGGGGGCAAAGCAATCTTTAAGCTCAGGACAATTATCTTTAACTTCATCAAGAAAATTTTGGTGTAGTAGTACCTCACTTGCGAACTCCAATGCACTCCTAGGTGATAGTTCTTCACAAGCTCGCAATCCCCAACGACACTCATATTTCACCGGATCTGTATTTTCAATTTTGATTTCTTGTATGTATCTTTGAGATCTTAAAGACTGGATTGAAAATTTGATAGTTAAGCACCCAATTCTAACATAATGGTAAGGTGAAAGAGAACAGAACGTACCTCCAAAAGTTTCTTTACATCACCAAAATATTCATGATGGTCTAAGGGATCAATATCCAGTAACTTCAAAAATGCATACAATTTCCCTGTAATGAAATCAGTGCTAATTAATCAAATCTCATTTACAACCTCATAGAGAACACTGAGCCTGATGGAAAGCTCAGACTTAAACTAGACAAGTAAGGAATAACTGTGCTTAAACATAATGAGTAAGTGCTAACACAAAATCAGGATCACAGGTATTCAGTTTATAAGAATTTCATCACAGCTTATGATATAACTCAGAACATGGCTAGTTTCACCCTCTTACCTTGCTCAACACCAGCCTCCTTCCATCTTCCGTTGGTTTGCATGAATATTAGGCTAAGAATTATGGCAAGTAAGGCCAGTTCTTTTTCAGTGGCAATCGAGTGGCTTATATGGTCCTGATGCTTTAAACAATTGACCAAGAGATAATGCTTGTTCGGCTTGTTGCCGTCATCAACTAATTCAATGCCATATGTCTGGATTAATGATTGTAAAAGACAAAAACAATAATTACATCGAAATAAAGAAACAGAATCCGATGACAACACAACTTTTGTTTTGGTTGCTTACCTCACGGAGCATTTTAGCAGCAAGCTGCATAACCTGTGAAGTGTTCTTCGTACAATTTTTGGTGACATTTTTCAATATGTCATTATGTTTGATTGGAACCTTGTCCAAATCGTTCATTAAAAGATATCTTACAGCTCTTCTGGCAAGGTCTGTCAGTTCTTTGGACGAGATGGGTGGAGCCTGCGAGCGTGCAGGCCCTTGAGAAGACATACGCTGCGACATACTGGTCTGATGTATGGAGAAGAAAGAGGGTTTGATGAGTAAAGCAGAGTGCAAAAATCACATAAACACACCAAGATGATGTACAGATACAGGTCCTCAACTAGACCTCCGAAACGCGTACCAAGTCGGCACGAGTTCGGGTCAAAGAATTTGAACAACCTAGGAAAGGTAAAACTGAATTTTACATACGAAGAACAGGTAGCTGAGGATGAGTGTATTAGCCGAAGATGGAAGAGTTTGTTAAATCAAAATCAAACGGCAGAGACGATCGTAAAATCGTATATGTAAACAAACCAGAACAAAAACCTTGACTCCAAGCAAAAACAACTCTGGCGGCACGCGGCGAGATGGCGCCACCGTCGCCGTCGCCGTAAAGGCGGCGGTGGGATGGGGAGGGGGGAGTGAAAGGGGGTGGGGGCGGAGGGGGAAGTGCCCGCGGTTTTCAAATCATATCATTTTGTCTGCAATTTCTTACAATGCAGTTGAACTGTGGCCCAATCTGGATCGATCTTCAGAGCCAGTCAGCAGTCTTGGTCTATCCCAAGTCTGTGCCGACCGTGACTATAATCCCCATAATCTCCCATACAGCATCCATTACTCGCAGTGCTGCAGAATCTTAAAAGAATGGCCCTACTCGAGGCCCTACTTCATGACGGAATCAAAAGCCCATTTCAATTCACTTGTACAGGTGTGACCCGTAAGGCCTTCTTCATGGCCATGGCTTTTCTATGGTTGCTAAAGATGATGGGAACAGAGGGGGGTGAAATTCAACATAAAAACGTCAAAGACAATCACAAGTTTATTTTTCTTAATTAGTTTATGGAGAGATACAGAATAATAGCTTTTGAAATAGTTCACATTCAAGACCTTGAATGCGCCACCAGTTACATATTTAACAAAAGCTCCAAAAACAATCATTTTTGTAGAATATTAATATATATCTATCTTTAACATATATGGCACATTCCCATAATATAGGGGCGACAAATAAAGAGAAAATCCGTTGAATAACATTAAAAATAAAATATGATCAAGAAATTGCAATAATGAAATTGCACTCTTAAAGGTAATACGAATATTTATTTTACACTCGTCTTTGGTGGCACTAGCTCTATCCGTCCAAATGACATTTTGGACCGGAATTTTTTAAAAAAAGGAGAAAAGAAAGTAATTTGGGATAAAAAGAAAAGTTAAAAAAACAAAACAAAAAACTTACAACCAAACAGCAAAACCCTTCCTTAAATAATTTGATACAATTTACAGAACACATTCTGCTTGTAGAAAACTAAATTTCCAAATGCGCATCTGGGCTAACTTAATAAATATCTGGTTCATTTCAACAGAGGGCATAAATTTACAATGGAAGCACTCCTTTTTACATCTGTACACCATTTGGCACTTGAATTCACTTCAACAAAATGGAAGGTATCCTTCCAAAAGACTTCAAATACACATCACTTACGGAATGCATACATACAGTAAGGAGTGACTTATCAAACCAAGTAGTACGGTAAACATGATACAACGAAAGACTAATTGCTTTGACTAGCTTACAAAACACAAGAAAAGACAGCCAACAATACCTAATGACAATACCTAATTGGAATGGGAAAGCATTAGCAATTATGGGTCCAGTCCACAAGTATTATATTTGCATAAAAAATTGAACATTCAACAATTACTTTTAAAATTAGAAACACCTTTAAAGAACAATTTCACACTAGGCACAAGGAGCATGATGGAAAGCACTAGACTTTGACAACAACTTAAGTTAATAAAAATTGTCATTTTGTGCAAGTCTTCATATTTGTAGCAAAAACATATGGTCACTATTTTGAGAGGATCTCTATTTTAATGGCCAAACCTTCAGTAACAGAATTTATCATTTATAAAATTATTGTCAAACCCATCTCATTCCTCTATGTACATGATGCTTAAAATATACACACATACTCAACTTTTGAGTATCCTCTCATTTATACACACTCATTATATATGTATACAACCATCCATAAGATAAATATCTACATGCAAAAACACTTTGGAATGATTTGTGAAACAGAAGTTTTCTTACTTAAAGAATTGAAATTTGTCACCAGCTATTTTACATGACTTCCACTCTACAAACTAAATTGAAACAAAACAAAATAACAACAAAAAAAACTGCAATCTATCATTTATGAAGTTAACAAAAATAAAAAGTTCCAAATAGATTATCATCAAAGAGGTAACTCTAAACAAAAGTGAAAGTTTCCATTCTTCTGGACCCTAGCATAACAGTAGTACGCATCACAGTCTGGTCAATACAACTTCATAAGAACTCCAAATGGTTCTAAATTAAGACCATCAAGTATTTAGTAGTGACTATTGGGGTCATCGTGGGCTGATGACCTCATGGTGATTTTAGTGTTCTGCTAGGGTGCACAAATTTAATACATGCTTAACTAAATCTGTAATTCTATGCAAAAATAATACATTTTTCAGAGAGGAAATAAGGAGAACAAGGCCTTAAACAATAAAAAAAAAACCTTAGGAATTGTAAAGGTGAAGAACAGAGGAACAAGTCACAGAGTCACAAAGATAAACCACACTTTTGTTCCCCATGCGTTAAAAAGAGAAATTCATAATGAAATCTTCCATTAAAATTTTGCATTATAAGTTACAATGTATAATTGTTTAATTTAAGTCTATGTAATATTGTCATTGTACTAGATTTTTTACACTCGGCCATATGATGAACTTTATGGTGTAAACCGTCTTGCACCAACAAAACTGCTCTAAAACTATTGAAAAATGTGTCAAGGTGAGAAGTCTCAAAAGGCTGAACAATGAGGCAGGGCAAGAAACACAGGATGAATGTGTCATGGAAAAATAAAATGGATAATCAACACAATCTGCTGATGGCATGATCTACAAGACACGTATTGAAGGCAATTTGTGTAATGGACACCTTTAATCCACCACATAAAGCATTTAAAAATTAGCATGGACAAATACTTTTTGGGTTTGATTCTGCTCTAATTTTCTAATGTGCCAATCAATGCATAGTGGAACATGGGATACACCTATCTATGTCTATATGGGAGAGAAAAGAACCATTATACTGGTAGAACCTCATAATAAACAAAATAGGGCAGCAGCAATTTCTTTGGTACTTCATAAAGCACTGTACATGTACAACTATGTAACTGAGTAAAGTCTGTGCACACTGAAGTGAAATTTGGTTTCATGACAAAATATCACAATAACCACCACTCTTAAGCTATAAAGCCATAAGCGATAATTAGCTTCCTGCCTAATACCAAAATTAAACCCTGCAAAATATAGAAATGTCAGATTTGAAAAGCGTCCTGTGACATTTTATTCTCTGTACGGCTTACAATATGAATATCGATGATTCATATGTTGACTATATGAGCCTGAGTGACTGAATCGTTTCAAACACTTCTGACACTGAAACGGTTTTTCTCCACTGTGCAGTCTCTTGTGTTCAGTTAAGTGATGTTTGTGCTTGAAGGCTTTAGGGCAAACATCACATTTATGTGGTCTCTGACCTATTGTGAGAAAAGAATAAACATTCATTAAAATCTGCAAGAAACAAGTTTTGATGTACAAAGCGCTTTGGAGCAATTTTTTTTCCATGCATTACAACAGAACTGTGTTCTCACCTGAGTGCTCAAACTTGTGGCGTGCCAGAGAGCTTTGCTTGCTGAAGACTTTGTCACACTGCTTGCAGACGAACTGTCCCTCCGGCTCGCTGTCCAGGGCGCCGGGGGAGCCGTCCGCCCCGAAGCCAGGGAAGAGGGGTGGGCCCAGGGTGAGGCCAGGGGGCAGGGACTCCAAAGCACGCCGCTTGATCTGAAGCTCGTCCATGCCAGAGCAGTCATCGTTCTCATCTGGCATGTCGTCCGTCGTATCACACTGCAACCGGAAAGAAAGGAAAAGAACGTTACTCGACATGTCTCGAACAACAGCGAGTCCCGCGACTCACCGCAGTGCTGTCTGAACAAGTGCAGAAAGTACTCGCGGTCAAGCTTACCTGCTTCCACGAGCGCCGGTCGGAGCCGGGGCTGGACGAGTTGGCCCCGCCGGGAAGGCCGGGGAGGCCGAGCAGGAAGTCGGGGAAGGGCCGCTTGAGGCCGAGGCGCCACGACGGCGGGCTGGGCGACCGCGGGTACATGGGGTACATGGGGCGGAAGGCGACCGGCCCGGACGGCTGGCACGCCGGCGGGGGCGACAGCGAGTTGGCCGGGGAGTCGGCGCGCGACTTGCGGGACAAGTTCATGACGCCGTCCTCTGAGTTGGCCGAGTGGGACCGCGCCGACGGGCTCGGCGGCGGCGAGTGGACGGAGTACGGCGTGGGCCACTTCTTGGTGGAGAGGTCGAGCGGCTGCTCCGACAGCGGCCCCTGCTGCAAGGCGGCCGGCACGGCCGGCACGGCGGGCGGCGGGGAGGTGGGCAAGGAGGCCGCGCTGGACGCCGCGCCGGCACCGCTGATGAGGCGGCCCTCGCGCCGGTCCCGGGCGCGCGTGTTCTGGAACCACACCTGCACGACCCGCTGCGGGAGCTTGACGAGGTCGGCCAGGCGAATCAGCTCCTCGCGCTTGGGCCGCGGGTTGGACGTGTAGTAGGGCTTGAGGATGGCCAGCTGGCTGTCCGTGATCTGCGACCGCACCCGCACCTTGCGCCCGTCCTGGTCGTGGTCGGTCAGTTCGTCCTCAGAGCCGCTGTGGTTGTTGTGCTGCTGGCCGGGCAGCGTGGCCACGTCCTCCAGCTTGGCGGCCAGCCCCTCGCTCAGGGCGACGGCGTCCAGGTCGCCGCGCGCGGGGCAGAGGTAGCTCTCGTGCTGGTGCAGCTCGATGGGGCTGGCGATGACGAGGCGGCAGTACTGGCACGCCCTGCACTGGGGCGACGCGCGGCCGCCGGGCAGCCCCGGCACCTGCTGCGCGTGCTGCGCGTGCTGCGCCTTGCCGTCCAGGAACGACTTGCTCAGCACGTTGGCGCTCACCGTCGCCAGGATGCGGTCCAGGTGCACGTTGGGCTTCTGGTCGGCCGCGGCCTCCTCGCCCTCCGCCGCGGGTGCCACGCTGCCGTCGCCGTCCTCGGGCTCAGACTTGATGCCGGGCTCCTCGATGTTCACCTCGAGCGCGGCGGACAAGTCGTGGTGGTGGTCTTCGTCGTCGTCCTGGTCGGTGCTGCGCACGCTGTGGGGGCTCCGGGGGCTGCGAGGGCTGTGTGGCGGCATGCTGGCGCTGGGGCTGTGGCCGTCGTTGCCGGGGCTGGGGCTGCGGCTGTGCCCCGGGCTGTTGCTGCGGCCCTGGCTGGGGCACGGGCTCACGATGGGGCTCCGCGAGGGCATCTGCGCCGCGTTGGCGTTGGCCTGCAGCTGCTCCAGCAGGATCTGGTACGGGTGCATGCCCGCCATGCCCGGCAGCGGGTAGAACTGATAGAACGGGTTGATGCCGTCGCCGGCGTACTTGGGCAGCATAGGGAATGCGGTGTTGTTGTTGTTATTATTGTTGTTGTTATTGTTATTGTTGTTGATGGGGGCGCGCTTGTTGCGCGGCAGCGTCTGGCCGCCGCCCTTGGGGTTGGCGCGCGACACCTTGAGGTTCATCACGAGGCACTTCTTGGACGTCATGTGGCTGGAGTAGGAGCCGGAGTGCGAGAAGCGCTTGCCGCAGTTTGCACACTCGAAGGGCTTCTCGCCGCTGTGGATGCGGATGTGCTCCTGCATGGACAAGACAAAAGGCGTTAGAACCGAGGCTCCACGACGGCGGCCTTGGCGACGGCCTCGACGACGGCGGCGGTGGCACGGCTTACCTTGAGGTGGTGCTTGAACTTGAAGGCCTTCTCGCACTCGGGGCACTTGAACTTGCGCAGCACGGCGCTCTCGTCGTGGGAGATCATGTGCCTCTGCAGCCGGTACACGTTGGCGAAAGTCTTGTTGCACACCTTGCACGACTGGAACACACACACGACATGGACATGAGGCAGAGTAATGAGGAGAGGGACTGTGCCGCAGCGCGGACGGGTGGGCGGGGCCGCGATAACGCGAACATGGTGCAGGTCGAGAGACAGGTGGACCAGCGGGGAGATAAGGTGCCCTCCGCGACCTGGCACTGCCTGGGACCGCCTGGGCGTAGGCCTGCCTGGGCCTGGCCGTGGAGGGGGCCGGGGCCCGCCGGGGCCGAGGCAGCCGAGCATCCCGACGGACGGTTTGCTTCTTCGAGGGGAGCCAGCCGTTTTTAAAAAAAGGCCTACGGCTGCACCACCTTGGGCGACGCAAGACACACGGCTATTTCAGGAGGCACTTCCTTTACGTGGATGCATCTCTTTTACGTTTCATTGGCTGGCCTTCGGGCGCGGACTCCGGGAGTGAATCAGGTGTCTGCTCGCCCCCCTCTCCCCACCCCCTTTTTCGGCCCCGGGTGTGCGCCCCATGCCCCAGCCGGATCCCATAAAAATGTTGACGCTGATGTGCGGCCATGTTTGTTTCTGAACGAAATCCCACCGAACCGAGCCCATAAATTATCAGCTCTGTTTATTCTCATTCGCTTTTATTTTCCGAAGGGACCCGGCGAGGTGGGCAGGTAGTGCGCGCCCGGGGGCTGAGGGGCAGCAGCTTCCGTGCACGGAGATTCAGCCACCACCGGAAAAAAGTCTCCCCGTTTCTTTGACGCCCTTTGGCCTCTGAGCAGCTGACACTGAGAACGGGGACGTCGGGGACGTATCGGAGCGGGTTGAGGCAGCGAGAGGTAATTGATAGCAGAAGTCGGTGTTCGCCGGGGCCCACCGTGGTGACAACCCGCCGCGTCAAACGTGCGCCGTACTCGAGGGGCGGATCCCGCATAGCAATAGCAGCCCAGCACAGCACACATGGAGCCACACACCTCCAGCGGCACTGAAAAAACACGCGCTACGGCCCCAGCCAGCAGGCAAAAGAGCAGCCCAAATAACAATAAAAAATAATAATAAGCCGCACTCTGTGACTCGTCTACCTTTCAGGAGAGAAGGGGTGGGAGGGGCGGCGAAAAAAGCTAATAGACTCGAGCAGGAGGGGCCGACGGGCGGACGACACAGCCAGGCGGCAGTCGACGTGAGGCAGATGTACCGGTGCACCATCGCCTGCTTCGCCTGCCTGTCATTTTTTCACGGCGTCTCATCCCTAGATTAGGCGGGACAGGCGGGCGGAGGGGATGCGACGCACGTCAGGGCCCGGCCCAACTCTTTCCAACACCGAAAATCCCCGAAAATTTGAGTTTTAGGACTCTGGACGGCTTGGCGCGGCCGAGTTGCTGAAACAAGGAGTGCACGGCAGCCAGACGGTAGCAGGTGCCGCGACGGGGAGGCGGCGCACTGCAAGGTGATCAAGGGGCGTACAGTATCAAGCTTCCTGGCGAGGAGGCGACGTGGAGACGCGGCGTAGCATACATGACACGCCCGTCCGGCCCGGCCCAGCCGAGGGCCAGGCCGAGGGCCCGGCAGTCCCGAGGGCCCCGACGGCCGGCCAGCCCCACGTGTTACGGTTAGGCCCCGTTCAGCACGGGGCAACGGCCGCGTCCGAGGCGGCGGCACCTGGAGGCAGCCGGCGATCGCATTCCCAAAGCGGCCGAAAAGAAATGAGCCACTTTCGGACGCCGCCCGACCGTCCGTCGGCTGCGTCGGCTACCCGACGCCCCACGCCATATCGCCGGGCCGCCAGGCGTCTCGGCCCAGGTAGGCGTACGTCCCCCCATCTCGCACAGGAAGCCTGGCCGACTAAAAAGCAGCACGATAAAAACAACAACATGTGCGTGCAAGTTGGCGGAGTGCAGCAGGGCGATTCCGAACGGTGCTTCATCGCAGTCTCCCTCGCACCCGAGCAGAACGCTCCACGAGTGCGAGAGAGACAGCGACGACAGCACCGTTCGGAATCAGCCTGCAGGTACGAGAATGTGCTGCCGCGCTGCCGCGTTGCGAGTCTGCAGGCCAACTCACGCGTCAGGACGTCGGCCCGCCTGCCGGGGAATCAGCAGGATGGCTGTTACCTCGCGGCCAGGCTGGGCCAGGCATGGTAACCATGGTAACACCTGTCCACGGCGTAAACTGAAGCATCCTGTAACGACAGCGGCGGGGAGGCCGCGGGGGGCCCGCGTGCTCGGCACGCCGGCGGCGGTGCCTTGCTGCATGCAGTGTGCTGCGCCGAGCAAGGTTGACGTCCGAGCGGTCCAGGTCCAACGACTCGGCTCCCCGACTGATTGCTCCGCTCCTCCACCGCGATGGCGATGCCGCCGCCGCCGTGCTCGGCCTGCGCCCGGCCCCATCATGCCCGCCGTGCCCCCGATGGCCTCATCGCGGTCCACTAATTAGCCTAATTGGCGAGCGCCGCGGGGCCGGCGTCAAAAGGCGCGCCAGGCCGCGGTGCGCCGCGGGGTCGAGCCCACCGCGCGGTGCCGCGGCTCGCCAGCGAGGCCCTGCTCCAGGTGGCGTCCAGGCCGGCCGGGGCCGCGCGGTGCTCAACAAGGTCCCGACCGCCCCGGCCGCCCCGGCATTCCGGCGAGGCTAAAAGAAGAACCGTCCGGGGAAAAGGGAAAGACATGGCGCAGTGCGCACGTCGAGCAGCACCACCAGCAGGTTCGGTCTCGGCTCGGCATTGCTGCGCCGTACCGCTGCGCGCTGCGCCGCCAGGGATGTTTACGCGACGGCTGCGCCCTGAGCCGCACGGCGCGGCGGCGGCGCGTCTCGAGTCGTCCTCAATCCACTCGATAATAACGCGGACAGACAGGCGGACGTTGGGACGTTCACGCTCTGCTTCGCCGTCATCGGGGATATTGACGTTTTCGCATCGGTGACAACGGCGGCGTGGGGCGGGGGCAAGGCGAAGGCGGGCAGGGCGGCAACAACACGCGAGAGCGTCGCAGAGCGTCGCCAGCAGCGGCACCGGCCAATCAAAGCGGCGAGGCAGTGACACGCTGCAGGCCCTGCAGTGCAGGCACCGCGCTCGGCCGCCTCAGCTGCACCGGTTGGATGGATGGAGCGCTTGGAATAGTGGGCGGCGTCACCACGGCGTCACCACGGCGTCACCACGGCGTGGCGTCGGCCCGTCAGGCCTCGGCGCTCAAGTGGCGGGCCGGGGCCGCGACACGGCGACACGGCACTCAAGGTGTGACCTTGGCAGGCAGGACCGCACGCCCACGAAGGCGGACGCCGAGGCGGACGCCCTGCCCTGGGGCCCGAGCTGCCTGAGCTGCCCGAGCAGAGGCATGCGTCCGTGAGGCCAGCTGCCAACTGGAGGACCAAGGCCCGCGCGCCGCAGCCTCTACAACTCGACGCCTGGCATTCCTGGCAGTACTCGCGCGGGGCGGGGCGGGGCTGCGGGGCCAGGTGGGAGGCATGGAGATGGAACGCGGCGGCGCGGCGGCCCTAAGATGGCGGTGGCGCCGTGCCCGCGGCCGCGGTGGCGGGCCTGGCGGTACCGGTGGCGGTGTCGCGGGGGCGGGACAAGACGAGACACGGCCCGACGCCGTTCGGTCCGACGGGTACGTTGGGGGCGGCGGCCGGTCGCGCAATTTCGGTCGCCGTCAAACACGCCGCTGTCTGTCCGTCCATGCCGCGGGCAGCCGCGGCCCTCCCCCCCACAAGGCGCGCGAGGCACCGAACCCTGCCAACTTGTAAAACGCCCGCATCAAGGGCCAAAATAACTTTTATATCGTCGTCGGCTGGCCGATGAAGCGAGCGAAGCCGATCTCGCGCACCCCGTCCCCTCCCCCTTCCACCGCCACCGGTACGCCGCCGGCCGCCAGGCCTGCGCTGCGCCGCTGCGCTACCCGCCGCTCCGGTGGCTCCGGTGGACGGGTACCGGAGCTGCCGGAGCATGGCGGCCCGCCGCGCCGCCGCCTCGCTCCGGGGCGGGGCGGGGCGAGCACCCATTGGTCGCGGCCGAGGCTCGCGTGGGTGGGGAGCCAACCGGAGCGGGGCGCCGCGGCACAGGTAATCGCTTTACCTGCCGGACGGACAACATGGAGCACTGCAGCGCCCATCAATGGGATTATAGGCCTCGGCCGAATGGCAGCGAATGGCACGGTCGCCCACCTCACAACAGCCTCGCAGCCTCGCAGCCCGGACGACGGGGAACCGAGGTCAGGTAACCCTGTCAACGCGGAAGAGAGCCCAGCACCACGTGGGCCACGTGTGCGGGAAATTGGGTAAGCTCCTCCACTTTGCCGTGAACCGGGACCCAAAGTGCGTGGCCTTTCCGTGGCCCTAAAAAAGAACGTTCGAGCGATTTGACTGACAGCCTCGCCGCGTGCGAAGAGAAAAAGCAACAGCAACAACAACACCGACTGCGGGAGGGGGCTCCACGTCGGCCGCCGCAGCTAAGTCAAAGGACGGCGCACTGCCCGGCGAAAACGGACTCCAGGGCCAAGCGGAATGATTCCGAGTGGCGCTGCCGTTGGTCTGTCTCTCTCGCACACGTACGGACCGCCCCATGAGTGCGAGAGAGACGCCTCCCGCTCGGCAGGCAGAGCAAAAAGCGCAAAAAGCGAATAAAGCGCGCGCTGAGGCGCTGAGGCGGGCCAGACGGTCGCTCTCGAAGGGCGGCTGGCGGCTCATCCTGCAGTGCAGGAGCGAGGAACGAGGAACGCGGAGCCGGTTCCCACTGCCGGGACGACGACGACGGGGGCCTCGGCCCTTGGCTGCGCTGGCTGCCTTGGCAGGGTTCGGGGCGGGGCGGCCGGGGAGATAATCGCACTCATTTTTCGTGCTTCTCCGGGACCGAGGACGGGCACGACGGGGCAGGGGGGCGCGCCGCCGCGCCGCCACCCGGCCAGAAGGATTTGACGCACTCGGTGCTAACAAATTGACGGGCGCGCCTTGCGAGCAGGAAGAGGGGGGAGGGGGCGGGGGAGGCGAGCATGGCGATCGAAAGCTTATTTACCGGCAATGCGCTCTGGCAAGGCGCTGGCCACCCCCTCCTCCGCCTTTCCCAGGTGAAAGGCCCGCAAGGAGGTCGCCGCCGACAGCAAGTACACTGAGAGCAGAGGGCGGTCCTCGCAAATAACCCCCGCGCTGTCCGGACAGCGGCCGATGTTTATCAAGGAGGAGCGGCGCGGTTCGACGGAAAAGCACGCAGCAGCTGCGGTACTCCGTACTCACCACTTGGATGTTGGGCGAGTGCACCAGCTCGTGCTTCTCCAGCTGGTCGCGCGTGGCGAAGGCCGAGTTGCACTGCGAGCACGCGTGGGGGCCCTGGGGGCCCTGCGGCAGCTTGGCGCGCGGCAGCACGCTGGTGGCCAGGACGCCGTTGGAGGACGCGGTGGACGGCGTCGGCGTGAGGGGCGGCGAGGCGGCGGAGCCCTGGGGCGGCGACACGGCCCCGTTCAGCGAGTTGATGGGGCTGGCGAACGGCGGCCCGGGGCCCGGGCTGCGGCGGAGGTGGCCGGCGTGCGCCAGCGGGTGGGCCTGCTCCATGTGCTCGGCCAGCTCCTGGAAGCCGCGGCATCCCTTGTGGCAGTGCTGGCAGTTGAGCAGTGTCGGCTCCACGTCGCGGTGGTCGCGGTCCGCGTCCACCACCGTGGGCACGCCGGGGCCGCTGCCCGGGCCGCTGCCGGGGCCCATGGGGACGGGTCCCGGGCCCATGGGGCCGCCGTGTTCATCCTCGGACGACAGGGGCACTGCAAGCAGAGGGGAGCGTCCCGTCAGGCACGTCGTGCACGGCCAACACACAACACAGGCGACAATTACGGCGCGGGAAGGTGAACCCCGCCTGTCCAGAGTGTCCCGTCTGTCCGTTCGACTGGACAGACGTGATAAAAAGCAACCGCGGGGCGGATGGGCCAGGATGGGCCGGCCGGGGCGGCAGCACCACCGCGATACCGCACCGGACGTCACAACCGTAAATCCCGGCGGCTATCGGGGGCCTCGCCCGGGCCGGGCCTCGTGCCGCGCGGTGCCTCGTGCCCTTTCTCTTCCTGGCGGCCCGAACCACGGCCCGAACCACGGCCCGAACCACGGCCCGCCGAATCACACACAAACACGTCATGCACATACACACCGGAAAGTCTTTGATTCGGCGCGGCATCCCCCCTCCCCTTCCCCCTGGCCTGGCACGTATTTGCACCGCCCGCCCTCCCCTGTCTCTCTTCCTCTCTCGCTCCTTCTCCCTGTGCGGTGATTATCGCTCTCTTCATTTGCAACACACAGTCACACACAGTGACACACAGTGTGTGACACACGGCCGCGGGGACAGCGCGCCGAGCGCGCGCAGTCAGGCATGTCGATTCTGCGCGCCAGGAAGCATTACAAAAAAAAATACGTGGGGGAATATAATCACATTCACGCGCGCCGAATCAATTCGCGATTTCGCTTAAAAACAACAGGGCGCGTGTTCGAATCCCTCCGCAGCTAATCTTTTTTCTCCCCCTTTCCCCAGTCGGTGTGTCCACTTCGCCCCCATCATGTTGGTGGTTCCGGGAGGGTGCTCCGTCGGCTCCGTCGCGCTGTCTCTCTCGCACCCGTGGGGCGTTCCGCCGGGCCGAAGGGGTGCGAGAGAGACGGAGCGACACCGTAGCGGCGTCAGCCCGCTGCCCGCCCCCTCGCGGCAATTGAGATTGAGACCGCTGGCGGCCATGCAGGCATGCAGGTTGTGTGTGCTGCGCGGTGCTGCGTGCTGCAGTCCGCGGCCACACAATGACCGCCACGCCTGCAGCGTCCGACGGCCCATTACGGCGCTGTGCACCGCGGCACCGCGACCCCACGGCCTGCATGCGGGCGATTGGACACTTTCGGGCCCCACTACCTATCTGGGGGACAATAGGTGAGGGGTGCGTCGCCCTCGTGAGGCTCCATTTAGTGCGGCGGCGATAAGTGCCGAGTCGGAATGGAATGGAACCCACTTGGGCAGCTCGGGGCGGCCGGCGACGGCCCCGCATCACCTCCACTGCGGAAGTGGGTTCCCAGCAGGACTCAGGGGGTCGACGGCGACCTTAGACGGGACGGGACGAGACCGTCGGCAGCACGCCGTCGTGGAGGCTCGCCACCCCCGCTGCCCACAGGAGGATCGCGAGTCTTCGCGGGGGTGCGCGCCATCCGGGGACGGACTATACCGCACCTCGCGAGGCAGGGGGTAGCGCCGCGCTTCCCTGCCCCGCCGCCAGATGGCGCTACTCCCGGCCAGGCGGTGGCGCGCCCTAGCGGCGGCGCGGGGAAGCTGCCCGCCTCGGTGAATCACGGACGCCGCGAGAGGCACCGGCAGGGAATGGAAGGACTCACGGGGAAATCTCACTGATTCAACACCGCCAGAAGCAGACGCTCCGACGGCGATTTGCCGCCGACACAGCCACATTCACACACAGGGCAAACAGTGAGAGAATTCACACACTGCGAATGTATATGGCGAGCGTCCTGCCGTGGGCTCCTCGTAAGGCCGAGTGCGCTGCGCACTTGGCTCGTTAAACCCGCTAAGGACACTTTAACGCACGTACTTTCCCTAATAGAGCAATAAATAAATTCTCAGGAGAATGCTACTTGATTATAGGTTCCTAATTGTAACAAACACTGAGACGAACAGGCTTGCACACCTGGCAATGCATACATGTAAGCCCCGATGACATGAACATACACGAACACCCGCTGAAACCGGGGCCAGTACTCGATGACGGCCTCGTTCAAGGTGCAAATTAAAGTACACACAAACACCGACACCCATCACACCTGCATCCTTCGCGACTTCGCTCCAGATATTCCCACAACACTGTCAACGAAAGCCCCGACGCATTCGGGAGTTAATCTGAGAGCCAAGGCATGCACACAACACAGAAATCCGTGAGTACCAGCACCGCGAGAAAGAAGGCCGCCGCGGAACCCAGCACCCAGCGGCGGGCCTCCAAGCAACAACACACAACCCTTGTACGGAAAGCACACGACAGAGAGAGGAAGCGTCAAGTGAGTGAGGCCGTCGCACACCGCGCGTACCTACCTTTCATGAACGCAACACACACCGACAGGGTGACGGTTGCTTCCTCCGGGTAGCGACTCCGGGGCGCAAGTTCGGCCCCCCCGGCCGGAGGTATCTCACTTGCACGGCAGCACACAGTCTATCACCAGCAAGTACCAACACAAGACGCATGCAACACAACCAACCACCACCACACACGCACACACACACACACACACACACACACACCACACAATCACTCAGCACAGCACGCACCGGCGCCCTGCTCCCAGCGCATGCTCGGCGTGGCTCTTGACTTGTCGCACGTCGCGCACGCTACGCACGCTCGTGTCTGGGCTTGTACCTGCCCTCGCGTGCCTGCGGTGCCGTGCTGCCGTGCGCACTCTACGGCGGCCTCCGAACGACTGCCGTGCCGCGCCCTCCCCGCGCCGTGCCTCCCACCCCCGCCGCGCCCCACCCCCACTCCCCCGGCCCGCGCGCACCGCCGCTCGCCCTACCTGGCCTCTGATTGGCGGCGAGGTGGGGGAGCGCGCCTCTCATTGGTCGGGCCGCCCGTCCCCGGCCCGTCCGCCCCCACCTGTTCCCTTTCGCGTGTGTCTTGGCAAGGTGATTGGGTCTGCGAGTGATTACCACTACCTCCTCCGTGTCCTCCGTGCGCCGGGTGTCCTGGGTGTCACCCCCGCGACCTACCCGCTGGCGCTGCCCGCGTCCCCGCGGCCCCGCACCGCTCATCGTCGCGATTAATGATCGGCGTATCGCCGAGGCGCGGCGCGACTCCAGCGCGGCCAGCGCGGCCCCGGATGCCACTCCAGCAGACTGATTCCGAGCCGCGTTTTCGTCGCTCTGCCACTCACGCACTCACGGGGCGTCCGGAATAGGTGCGAGAGAGACAAAGCGACGAAAACGACTCTGGCAATCAGTCTCCAGCCGCCTTCAGCCTCCAGCGTGCTCGCGCTGCCGGCGCTGCCCAGGATTGACCCTTGGACGCGAAAATACGCGAGCGGGGGCGGTGATGATAGGTTTCCCGGAGCCGGGGTGACTAACTGGCGGCCGCCCTTCTACAGTACCACGCCGGTGTACTTAGTGAGGTTGTTGACGTGCAACACGAGAGCGGCCAACGGGCTGCTGTGCGGTGCGGCTGTTTGCCCAGCAATCAGTAAATGGCAAACACCGTGCAGCCAGCCCGCCACCGACGCGGCCACCTTGGCTTCCCTTCCCAGGCCGCTTGGCCGCTACGTGTACGTTACCCCACACTATCGCACGGCGGCGCGGCGGCGCGGCGCCGTCCCTCACTTCCCTCACGGCCGTCGCGACGGGCCGCCCCTTCCTTTCTCCAGCAGGAAAGGCCGACGGCCGCCCAGAAAACCGCGACACTCGCAACAATGAGGACGCGGCACCATCGCGCTTATCAGCGCGTTGGCGGGGCTGGCGTGGCGGGGCTCTCAGGCGCATCGAGCAGGCGGGGCGGGGCAGCGCGGGGCGCCGTCGTGATCGGAACGGCCGGCAGCGCGCGGCGCGGCACGGCTGCCCGGGCGGCCTACCTCCCAGGCGGCCTGCTCCACGCCACTCCACGCCCAGACTGCGCAGTTACTCCTATAATTGCTCCACACGGAGCTTTGTTTTATTGCACCCCGATTGTCGCGGTCAGATGCAAGGCGGAGGCAAACAAGGTTTACAGGCGGACAGGCCAGTTCCCCGAATGCACGGCTTGGCCGGTTCGGCGCAGCGCTTGGGGGCGAGGTCCACGCACGTCACCGGGCCGGTCAGAGATTTGGTTTGAAGAAAGGGAAAATAAATAAAGCCAAAGAATGCCGGGCGTCGGAATCGACACACGGCCGGTCGTCAGGCTGTCTCTCTCGCACCTATGGGGGACGTCCCGTGAGTGCGAGAGAGACGGAGGCCTGCGGAATCAGGCTGCTGGCCGCGGTGAACACGGGTCGTCCTCGGGGCCTGGGGCGACCCCGCCAGACCCCGCACCTGGCAGGCCGGCCAGCAGGGTTGCCAGACCCCTAGTGCACTGCCCCGCAGCCAGAGCGCGCTCGACCCGCCGCTTCCCGCCACCTTTCAAAATAGCCTAAAACCGCCTAATGAAAGCACCATCCCGCCTAAATTCGCGGGCCAAATACTCAAATCAGATTTTAATGTTAAGTCTTATTTGTTCCGTGACAATACAAAGCAAGAAATAGGCCCTAACCCCAAAGTTTTCTTTCAAACCCTAGAAATAATACGTGCGGTCACTACCTCGGCGGGAGGGGTGCTCTCGACTTGGACCCGAACAAGCGAAACAGCCAATAAAGACCATTTCGATCACTTGGAATCAACCCCATTTTATCATTTATAGCCTAATTTGCGATTTCCCGAAATCGGAATTTACCGCCGACTGAGAAAAAAATAGCCTAAGTGGCGGTCTGGCAACCCTGCCGGCCAGCCCGGCCAGCCGCAGGGCCGCCGCTCGGCGTCGCTACGCCATAGGTGGTGCTATAGCGCTATCTATACACCGCACCAGCCCCCTCAGTCCCGCAAGGTGGAGGATGTCGCTCCCCAAGCGCGGGTGAGGCGGGGCTACGGCAGGCCTGCGGCAGGCTACGGCAGCTCTGCGGGTGTGGGGGCAGGTGACGTGGGTGGGACGCGTTGGGTTGGCATGCCTATAGCTACGCCCCCGTCGTCGCCGATCCGAGCCGATCGGGCGGCGGCAGGCCGACGGCAGGCCCACGGCAGGCGGCAAGGCGCGCGGCGAACACGTTTTATGACAAACACCTTGGCACGCTTCGCCACGCTTCGCGCGTGGACAGCGGCGGCACCCCGGCGGCACCGCGGCACTGTCCATCCATCCGAATTGAGTCCCACCGTAAATTAGGTAGAGGCCCGCTGGTAATTTTAGCCGCCGGGTACGCCCCGCTCCGCCCCGGCCCGGCACGCCCCGGCACGCAGCGCCGCGATGCCGTGGAACACCCTTCGGCCTTTTACACACTTGTAAAAGTGGTACGGGTACATCTATCTCAATGTGCGCGCGAGGCCGTCGTCTCATTAAATACCCGCCGTAAACCGCGCGCCGACAGCCTCACACATGCACACACTCACGCTGTCTCTCTCGCTTTCACACACACACACTCACACACACGGGCACCGCCCCCTCACACCTCCTCGGCTACTGCCACTGCAACAAAACGAGACGCAGCGTGGAAAAATTTGTGTCACCCTGAGACCGGCGCTTGAATGAACGACCCACCGACCGGGCGGATGCCGCGGATCACAGAGGTCGTGGGTTCGAGTCCCGACGCCGGCGACACGTTTTTCCGCGTCAGCGGCACGTTTTGGTGAAGTACAACTACAACATGCTTTTCATTCAACACTACGTGGAGGGGAGCTGGGTCCATTGATGGGCGCATCAGGTGCGCATCAGGGGAAGTACCATCACCAACCACCACACCAAAAAAAAAAAACCATCATCATCAACCACCACCATCACCACAGCACACGACACACGCGCACACTCACTCTGGTCGTCTGCTTGGAAAAACTCCGGCATGATTGTTCTGTCTAGGGTTCACTGGCGCCGGCACTTGGAGTAGTCCTGTCACTGGGTCTTCATGGTGGCACACTGTCTTCTCGCGGCACTGGAGCTCACTCACTTCACTTTGTCACTGAGGCACTGGTCACTTGCACTCACTGCCGCGTCACTAGCGTCACTAGCGTGTCACTGACGGCGCGCTGGGCAGGCCGGGCCGGGCCGAGCTCAACAAGTATCCTCGCGCGCACAGCGCAGCAGCGCGCAGGGTGCGGGACGCGGTGCGGGAGGACTGAGGCCCCTCGCCCCGTCGTGCAGGAAGCCCCTAACCCAAGCCAATACCCCACACCGTCCTTTCCCAAGTGAAAAAGCGAAATGGATGGATAAGAGTAAAAAATTAACAATCACCCATGGTATGCTTGGAGACGGCGATGGAGTTGAGCCGGTCTCGGTGGTGTTGCAGGAGAAAATGTTGAAGGGGCCACATTGTCAATGGGCCATCTTCGCTCTTGACGTGGTGGACACGGTGGACACGGCTGGCACACCGGTAGGCAGCACTAATAACGAAAAGTCTACTTTTGTAAGCACAGAAACTAAGTTAAAAAGGCCAACTCAAAAAAAGTGTCTTGCGAAGCGTTTCTCTGCGAAGTCTCTGTCTAGTCACTTACGTTGGCATGTACTCCACACGTTAGCTAGACTCCAGAGCCGATACGAGTAGCTATCGGGATAGCAGCCGTACATAGTCTTCTCGCTGCGGGCAACCATGGCCTACTGACTGCATCACAGCCAGGAGAGCAAACAAAACCTGCCCTGCGTAAGCGTGCGCACCCCTTCCACCGCCTCACGGCGCCGCCACCCCGCGGCAGTGCGAGCCGAGCACAGCCGAAGAGCGAGCCGAGCCGAGCCGAACCAACATTCGAAACAGAAAGGAGAGACGTCGCGGTGGTGGGGGGCGGGCGGCGCGGTGGCCTGGCCGCCCTGGCCGCCCTGGCCGCGCCGCGCACCAAGGAGCTAGCGCCGCCCGCGGCCGTGCCTCCAACTACGCGGTCCTGCGCTCCTCCCCCTCGCCCTCCCCCGCGCCGCGCGCCGCGGTCCCATGGTCCCGCGTCCCGCCGACCTCCCGTCCGCACGGCACCGCTACGCCGTGCTACGCCGTGCTGCCTCGCGCTTCGCTTCGGCTGCGGCACCGCGAGCTCTTGCTCCGCGGTGGCGGGTCTGGCGGGGACGCGACGCTCCGGCCGGCCGCACGGTCGACGCCGAGGTGGAGGCCGACGTCGTCGCCCCTCGGGACTCGACGCGACGCGGCCTGCAGGCTGAGAGTCATTCTCGTCGCACCTACAAGCGGGACGCCCAATGAGTGCGAGAGAGACAGGGCTCTCGGCATGAATGAGCAGGCCGAGGTGCGCGGGGATTCCGCTGCTGTTTGCAAGAGTCGCCTTGCCTTGCCGCCTCGGCAGCCTTGGCGGCGTAAGCCTATTACGGGGGTTTTAATCCGCCACTGGAACACGGGCAACACGGGACGGGACTCGAGTTTGTCTCCGACGCCAGCGTCATTGGCTGCCATGGGCTGTCGCCGCCGAAATGCCAAAACCCCCGCCGGGCCGGGTTATGAGGTATGGGTGGCGATTGAGCCCGTCGCTGCCTGCCCTTCCCCCCCCTCCTCCAGCGTCCCCGCCGTCGCGCCCCGTCACGTCACGTCACGCCACGTCGTCACGGGGCACGTGCGCGTCGTGCGCGGACAGGGTGCGGAGGGGGAGCTTGTCGTGCACGAGGAGGGTGCGGGCGGGCTGGGGCCGCTGGGGCGCCCGGGCCTCGGCGCCGGCGGGTAGGTCAGCGTGGACGAAACGCCACGGAAATGCTCTCTCTCTCTCTCTCTCTCTCTCTCTCTCTCTCTCTCTCTCTCTCTCTCTCTCTCTCTCTCTCGAGGGGACCACTGATAGTTGACCGTGTGCAGCTCCTGCTTTCAAAAGCTTTTTAACTAGTTTCTTGCTAGTTTTTGGGACCCACCCAAAGTGAATTAGTGAATGTTTCCATCAATCATCAAGATGTGATAAGAATTTTTACTCCCCCTTTCGTCTGGAGACGAAAAATCTCCATTCACTACTGGACCACGCCGGGCCCCCGCCTGGCATAACCTCAACATCACCATGAGTTTCGCTCAAGTTGCTGCATCCTCACCAAACCACTACGGATACTCCGAAGAATTCATCGATCCAGAAGAAAACCACCACCCCCGAAGCCAAAACATCGATCAAGATCACCAAAACATCGAAAACGGCAGTGTCAACAATCAACCTACGAATGGCATTCCCTCTGAGAATGTAAACAACAACAGAACCACTCCGAATTCTTACTCACCTTCAAAGAAATTCGCCATCATTCTAGAAAACACTGACAATGTACTTCAAGACCAATGCCTTCGTGCAGTAGCAGACGTAATCTCAGGTAAAAACATCCATTATGCCACAAGACTTAGCGGAGGAAGAGTCTGCATGTACCTCACTGATGAAACGTACGTAAACAAAATGTGCACAGAAGGGGGAGTAACCATTGGAAACGTATACATTCCAATCAGGAAGTATGTCACTGAAGCCAAGAAGTTTGTCATTTCAAACTGTCCTCCAGAGATGGGAGACGATGAACTGAAGCAGCTACTACAACCATATGGAAAAATTGTGTCAGCCCCATCTAGACTTCGAGTCTCCACTGCCCATGAAGATCTACGTCACATCAAGTCTTGGCGAAGATCAATCTACATCATCACTTCAAGAGATGGCCCTGAAATGCCGAAGAAAATCCCCATTACAAACAGGATTGATGGAAGTAAGTCAATGCTGTACATTGAAACAGATGAAATTATCTGCAGTTTTTGTCTGGTCCCAGGTCACAATGTGGACAAATGTAAGAAGAAAGAACTTCATGAGAGAGAATTTCCCCTCTTCCAACAACCTGTTGGGACTCGTCTATTCAACCACTCCACCCCCAGGACTACTCAAGAAAGAAGAAACATCCCTCGAGCCAGTACCAGCATTCTCAATCAAACCACTTTCATGCCGGTCTACAACAACCAGCAAGTGAGACAGCACACTGTTCAGCCAACTCAAGAAGGCCAGACAGGCCAGCAAGAAAACGCCCCCTCAGTTTTGAGCTCAACTCTCAACATAGCTTCATCCATCCCCAAACAACGTTCTTCAAATCAAGAAAACTCTCAACTTCAACATCAGTCATCGCTTCAAGAAACCAACCGTCACAAATCCTCTGACACAGCTATAGTTGCACCAGAAGAAACTTCAAGCCTCAACGCATCAGGAGACTCAGCTATGTTTTTTGATTTCTCATCTCCAATCTCTATAAGTGCTTCAAATAGAGACAGTCAAGCCAAGAGCCAGAAGAGGAGTGCTGGTTTTTCACCTGATAAACAAGAAGTCACAGGAAATAAATTTTCAAAAAATGATTCAGTGGAAAACAGCAGTGAAAGTGACATTTCAGATGTGGACTTTGATTCTTGTGACAGTTTAGAAATAAAACTCTCCAAGAAAGACAAGAAAGAAGAGAAGAAGACTATTCAAGATATAATGAAGAAAATGGATTTTGATAATCAAATTATAACCCAGCTTCAATTCTCCAGTTTCCTCATAAACTGCAGGGGAAAAGCTAATTCCAAGAAAATTGCTGATCAGTATCACATTGACAAGACTGCTCTGATAGAGCATCTTGATAAAGCTGAACTCCTGTGTAGTGATTTTAACCTGAAGAGAAGAATAGAGCGTGCAACTGCTGCTCTCAAAGTCCCTGACAAGAAGTAGTCTCATTTAAAAATGTTATATTTAAATATTTTTAAAGCATTCTATTTTATAGCATTTTGTTTTCCACTACAAGATTTTTACTTTTTCAAAAAATGCTTTCACATGCATTATTTTGCATAATGCTCTCCATTCTTTCACTCAACACCCAAGGACTTATAAGCCATCAAAAACAGCTGAGTCTTCAAGAATATTCAAGAACCAACAATAGTGATATCATCCTGCTGCAAGAAACCAACCTTCATCCTGGCACAATTTTGGCCTATCCGAGTAATTTCCATTATCTTCTAAACCCACCAGTACAGCCAGCATCAGGTGTGGCAATCGCAATCAAAAATGAATTTTACGAAAAAATAGTAATACTGTCACATCAAAATCCAGTGCCCGGCTATCTACAAACACTTAATTTTAAAATCAGTGATCAAGAGTACCATCTAATAAATGTTTACATGCCTCATGAAAATAATCTAGCCTCAACTGTCATCAAGCAAATTCATCTGTACATAGAGAAGCAAAATGAAGAATCAAAAAATTTTTTTAGCTGGGGACTGGAATGTCACCCTAAAAGAAGAAGACAGAAGAAACTGCATTGAAAAAAGAACAGAACTTGCTCGTGAACTTCAAGTTTTACTCCAGCAACACAACATGTCAGACATCTGGAGAGATTTTAATCCAAGAAAATCACAGTTCACTTATAGAGGTCTTCACCATAATCACCCCATGTCAAGACTAGATAGAGTGTACACTAGGAAGAGAGATCTCAACCTAGTCATCAACACTAAAATTATACCATCTTTCTCGGACCACTCCAGTGTCCATGTAAATCTCAACGCCAACCAGCAGAAGTATCATCCACCTTATTGGAAATTGGACACGGATCTTCTCAAATCTCAAGAATATAGAGAAATAGTGTGCAATATTCTTTCCCACTTTGAAGAAAAATCTCTTGAAGAAAATCAAAATATTGCAATCTTGTGGGATGACCTGAAGCAAGAAATAAAGTTAGCATCTCAGCGATTCATGAAGAAACTAAAAGAAAAGAAGCAAGAAAAACTTTCTATACTCCATGCTCAAATAAATTACATTGAATCCAAACACAAACTATCAAGACATGATGAAGAAATGCTAATAGAGTGCCAGAGAGAAGTTTCAGATGCTTACCAACAGACAAGTTCAGAAAAGCTGAAAAATCTGAAAACTAGTTTCTGCAAAGAAGCCAACACACAGTCCAAGTTCTTCCTCAGAATGGCTAAACAAGGAAAGCCTTCTGCCGCCATAGATCAACTGGAAATAAATGGAAAAATTACTTGTGACAAAAAAGAAATTTTCTCTTTTGTACAAAATGCATACAAGTCATCCTTCAGCAGCAAAAATACCACCACCATTGACCCAGCCAACCCCATCTACCAAAACTTACCAAGACTCTCTCAGGCGGAGCAAGAATTTTGCGACCAGCCCATCACAGAAGAAGAAATAAAAACATCCATAAATGAAGCGAAGCTCAACAAAGCCCCTGGAATGGATGGACTTCCCATTGAGTTTTATAAATTTTTCTGGGAACAAATCAAAAACATCTTTCTCAAGGTTATCCAGAATTTTCAACAAACCGGAGAACTTCCAAAATCAATGAAGAAAATTGTAATTGCACCAATACCCAAGAAAGGTGACAGGATGAAACTCAAGAACTGGAGGCCCATTGCACTCATCAATGTGGACTACAAAATTGTATCTAGAACATACAGCAAGAGGATTTCAAGTGTGGTGACAACCTTACTGTCATCTGACCAAAGCTATTGTGTACCAAAGAGAACAATTTATGATAACCTTCATCTCATCCGCAATGTCATCAGGCACTCCAACAACTCTAACTCACCACTGGCAGTTCTCAGCCTGGACCAGACGGAAGCCTTCAATAAAATCTCTCACCAATATTTACATCATTTGCTGAAGTTGCATGGATTTGGACCTAAATTCTGCAATGCAATAATGTCACTTCTAAGTGGCACTCAAGGATACATCAAGATAACCTCGACTCTTCTTGCCCCTTTC